GGTCAGGCTTATTAAATGTTACTGCTGATCCTCTTGACACTTTACTTTTCTAATTTTGGCAATGCCTTAAAAATTCTGAATAGGTCTGACGTAAGTGGACTTGTATTTTCCAAGTTTTCTGACCACTCAAAGGGCTCTACATCGATAGCAGAGGATGTTATAGGACCATTACCTAAGAAAACAAAGTTAGTGTCATAAAAAAGCTCTGATGCTAAAGTACAAAAGCAGAGAGCAGTTAAAGAACCTGAACCTCCATTACCTCTTACATCAGAAGAAGAAAAGAAATATTTGTGAATAAAGAAAGACTTTGTTAGATGATTAAAGGAGCAGCGAGTGAGGAGGAGGAGGAGGAGGAGGGTTGTAGTCAGAGAGGTCAGAAGGGAAAAATGAAGAAAGGCTGAAAAATGTGAGGATGAAGGCAGGTTTTCCTCATTTAACTTTTATTTAGTAGGGTTAGAGAAACATCACTGTTTCTGAAACAAAATGAAATCATCTGCTTTTCTTTAAAGTGTGAAACAACAGATGATGTGGACTCGAATCACTAGATGGCAGTGTCACTTTTTAAACCCATTAGCCTCTGACTGACACTGTTGCACCTCGACTTGTCAGCTACTGTACGTATCTGAAACACTTCAAGTTCCAGCTAAACTTAATGTTTAATTTAAGGTTACAGCTTCTGTAAATAGAAGCTGGTGCCATTTACTTTTTTAAACTTGCTGAAAGCTCCCCGTAAAAAAAGTGCAAACTGCTGTCATCGACATTGCAAAGCAGAGCCAGGATTTCTTTAACAGCACAAAATCCAAACACAAGTTCTGCCACTCTGTCTCTCTCTCATCAGCTCGTGAGATCTAGCAACTTTTAGCATAATGAATTTAGCAGGGAAGCCTTCTCTACACAGTCCATCAGGCCTGCCATCTAGGAGATTAAATTATGTCTGTAAGCATTAAAGCTTTGATGCTGTATTTGGGCGGCATGCATGCATCCATTTGCAAAATTCTATATAACAAAATTAAAAACATGGACACCTATGGAAAAAGGCTTGGCACGAGCACTTAAACGCAACCACTCCAAACAGTCTGCTGACTAATGCATTTCTAATCATTTCTGTGATCAATGTTAGCTACTGTGCAATAAGATTAATCAGCCATATGCAAAGCTAGGATCACCTTGAACAAGGCAGGGAGACAGAAAAAAGGAGATAAAAGGAGTGAAAGAAAGCGTCTCTGCTATTATGTATGATAAGCACACTATACAGAAAGAAAGCGCACCTGCATTATTCAGGTTTTTCATGCCGTTGGTTTTGTGTGTGTGTGTTGGAGCGGCATTACTCCGGCGTTTCGCTCCCCTCAGCTGTGCTTTGGCATCTGTGCATGGCCATCTCACTGCTGAATAGCTGCCTGATTATTCCAAATCTAAGGGAATATTCAAACAAGGCCCATAATGCATTCTTCCATATGATTCTCCAGAGCTGGGACAGCTGTTCAGCAGCTTTCAATGCCGTGTTCAGAAAGGGGACAGATTTCTCCGCTCAATTAATAAGCCCGCATTAAAAAACAGGGAGAAGTTTGACAAATGAAGCAGAGATTTAGTTTGTCTTTAAAACAAGCATCTCACAGGGCTGATGAATTGCTACGCTTTCGCAGAGACGACTTGGAAATGAATGTTTAACTTGGAAATCAATGGCAGAGCAGGATTTCAGTGGCTTTGTACGCAAACTGGGCCTTCGCATCGGAGTCTGCTTCTCTTTGCACACAAAGCTGGCACTATACGAGCAGTGTCGTTTACACCCCTACAGTAGACAATAACTGTCAGTAACTTTGTCACCGGTACACTTTCTAACAGATTACAACCCAGTCAATTTTTACAAACCTGTCCTACAAAATGATAAAACTTTAATGACAAGAATTTGTCAGCTGTATCAGAGGGGAGGAATTACAGCAGATCAGTGTCTCTTTGTTCGCTTCAGTCTGGCCACACAGTGACTTCAGAGCGGAGCTGCTGTGCCGCTGCCTTGTAAAGTTTCAACTGGCAGATGAATTCTTTCAGTCTGGCTTTCCCGAGAACAACGAAGAGGTTGTCTGTCCAAGGGCACACCTGTAAGGTGCAGACCCTCGACAGGCTTACCTCAGTGGCCTCTCCTGCTGTACTCAAAAGGCAATTATTCCTCCCAGAAGATAGAGCACTGTCAACTTCAAACACAGGACATTCTTTAGGCAGATTAGACTAAAATTATGTTTTATTATTCGGGCCCTGAGGAATGAATTGGACTCTCTTTGGTCGTCTTTGCGGTGAAATCTAAGACAGTTTAAATGGCAGAGGTATGTTTGGAGTCGGGGTAATACTCTGGTGTCTTTATGAAAGGGCAACAGAGAGGATCAGATTAGAAGCCGAACAGCGAGAGTCTTTCAGAGCGGCTGTGCTATCATCTCTGCCTTCGTGTCCGAGCCTGTAGAGAGGTTAAATTAAATGGCTGTAATAAATGTTTTGGTCTCGCTGATGTGCTATGGCCGCCTATCAAAGGAAAACACTGTGGAGAAACGGCATGGTGGAAGATCAGAGAGAGGAACAAATGGAGGGTGGGAGAACTATGTCAGCACATTACCAACATTAGAAACGGACTTGTTTTCACTTAAACCTCAATTATAAAGCTGGCTCCAGAAACAATTATATTGATGAATGCTTTCTAAGTTACTGTAATTAAATTATTCCATTTAATTAACGAATTATATTGAATTTCTCCCCAGAGGACGGCATTAGCCTCATCTGCTGTTTTACAAACAGGAGTGCTCTAATGTTGTGTGCTATGGAAATGATTACTAATGCCTAATGAAACTGTGTCACATCAGATAAATGCTGTACACAGTCAACAAGGCGGGCTTGTAACACAGCCAAACTTGAGACGAAATAATAAAGCCAAAGAAGGAATTATTGATTGTTGTTTTTTCAAGGGCAGGCTTTGTAGAGCTGACATCAAATAAATTATAATTCTGAGTGCCTACTCGAGGTTTAAAAGAGAAAATGGAAAGTCAAAACAAAATATTACTAAGCAAGCATTAAAAAAAAAAAATCATCCCTGCGTATATCCTTAAGTCAAGAATCTAATTCAAAATGAGAATACACGAATTAATCAGTGTTTGTCATTAAAAGTACACATAAAGAGAGGGAAAACATTAACACCACTTAATAAAAGTGTCTGTTTTGTAGAAAAAGCATGCCATAACAGTTTCCACTCACTGGCTTTAGATGGTAATTATACACATTATAAATTCAGATACACAGTGTTACTTTGATGGTTCAGCAGTACAAAGCTACAGCACGTAAAAGCTCCAATGAAGTTTCACTGCAGCTGACCATTGCCCTCTGGTGGGAGTGCCATGCACCTGCTCTAAAAATACTAAATATAGACCTTTAATATTTGAACATATTTTTTTGTGTTAGATTAAATGTAATAACATTAACCGTTATTTGTAGACAAAGATAACATAGCTGCAAAAATTATATACACTGCTATAAATTGCACAAACAGGACTAAAGAATGTGACCTGCTTATTAAAAGTTATTTTACCCTTTCAAAATAAAACCCGTCAGTGTGCTTACAGTAGCAATGTTCTGTATGTGTTTATTGTCCTTTCCCCTCTTGGCTTGGCCATATTAGTCCATGTGAGACGAGAGAGGAGTTGTGATGCTGTAAGCACATACCGTGCATTCCCTCTCCTCCGCTGTGCAGTTGTTGGGCATATTGTGAGGTTTTAATACGGGGGATATGGAGGAGGGCTCGGCTCACATTCGCTGCACGGGAAGAGCCAAGAATGACAGTTGCTCCTCTTGGAGCTGAGACATCCCCGGATTTAAATTGCACTCTGAAAGGTCAGCACATGACAGGCAATCAGTCAGACCCTAATTGGTTGATCAGCAGACATTTAAATACGCTTCTGATTATTTTGCGTCATGGAAAATATGATCATGTGAGCATTTCTTATGCCGAAGATTAGTTTCATTCAATTTAAGTACTCTCAGTGGTTATAATCTATTTAATACTACCAATTGATCAAAAAAAGTAACCAGAGAGGTTAAAGAAAGCTTGAGAGTAATAATGTGGTTATATTTAATTTATGAGGCATATTGCAAAGTAGCTGCACAAAGTAACAGGTCAATGGAAGGTATAAAATAAGTGAAAATAAAATGTTACAAAGTAAAATCACAAACAAAAACATTGAACATTTATTTGTGTAGGGATAAATAATAAATAAGCAGCATTTAAATCACTGTAACTTACCACTGCGTTTATAACCTGAGCTTATTTTCAATGACCTTCCCCGTCAGCTTCTGTAATATGTAAAAAAAACTAACACAAGCCACCCAAGAGAGAGAGCACAAAACACAAATTTGACCTTAAAAAGTTCCATTAAAAACACAGAGAATCCAACATGTGAGGGAAAAAGGTTCAAAGTCTAGTACATAAAATAGTAGGTGAGTAAAAGAATGAAAGAGAGAGTAAATTTTGAGATTCATTGTTGGTCATGGAGAGATCCACAATTCAAATTTTTATACTTGTCAACAATCCAGCAGACAAAAGTATTTCTTCTTAGAACAATAATTAACTAGATTTGATTCAAAAGGTCATTTTAAGGCAGCTAACAACAGTGTGAAGAAGTAACATAGGAAAGGAAGTTTTGTTCAAAAGCTACAGTAAGACAACAGACTAAAATTGACTGAAATTGTTCTGACCTTCAAAAGCTAATAAGACTGTCATGTATGAATGGTCATGTTTGACCAAAAAGATCGCAAGTTTTAATATTGCACATTCAGTTTTAGTTTCTTTGATTTTAAAATCTAAATTACAGCAGGATGAAGAAAATACTTTTTTTGTTTCTCCATAGCAAATACTCACAGCCAGGAATACATCAGACTGTTAGAAAAAAATGCAACTTACACATTAAGTTAAATAAAAAGAGGTTTGTTTTGTCCAAAGGGGGCGCCAAAATCAACACAAAAAAATCTTGCTTAAAAAAATGAGGTCAGAAAAAAGTTTTTCAGTTGTTTTAATAAAATTTATGATCATAATAATAATATCAGTAATTATGTGTTCAAATAACTACAAGAACCCAACATCAAGAAAGCCCAACAAAAATTTAACCAGAACAACAAGAACGAGCAAAAAAGAACCCAAACAACATGATGAACCAGAACATCCCAAGAAACCGTAAGAACCTTTAAAAAGGCCGTAAAAGCACAGGCAACACAAGAGCCTGACACTTTTGAGCTGAGACTTGTTTTTAATCTGTATGTATTGGAATAAGTTTGTAGCGTATTTAGCCAAACACTAAGCAAATTGTCAAATGTAACTGTAACTGTAAGGGCCATATTCAGGGTTTCTATAGTCATTGTACTGTAATTTTTGTACATACTGTAATGGTCTTTACACTTTAAAACTGGAGTATAAATATGAGGACTTTTACTTTGTGGGTCAGGTGTGTGGTACCATAAGCCACTATGATCCTCTGCTGAGTTTCTTTCACCATCTGATTAATGAAAGAACTGTTCCCTGCAAACTGTTTTGGTCACTGATCATATGTTACCTTTGACGACAAATCACAGCAAAGAGTATCAATCCTAACCCTGGATCAAATGTCTCAAAAGCCTCAGTACTAAACTTCTTGAGACAAACTTCTTAGAAGAAATAACGAGAAAAGCTTTAGATATACATAAAACTAAGCAACAAATAAAGAAGAAAGATATCAAATATGCATTTCTATTTACAAATGTTACAGAAAAACTGTGAAGGTAAAAAGTAAAACTGCAATAAATGAGGTAAAATCAGGTCACGTTTGACTAAACATAAAACAGGAGAGAAATAGGAAACACACCTCTTGTCAGACCTTAAAGAAAACAATAGACTGAACAATACAACATGTGTACTGTCTAACAAATAATGGTGACTCAGGAGATAAAAAGTTTCAAGTGACTTTGAAGATGGAGAAAACTTTTATTCCTGGTCTTTGATTTTGACTGATATAGGTCCAGTCCTTCTTAAAAACTAGATGAAAAGCAGTGATTTTGTGTGTTTCTAAATACATTTACATCCACCAATATTTGTTTGTTTCTTTGAATGTGTTTCCATTTTAACCCCATGTAACCTCAGTGATACTCGTGTTGAGTCAAGCCTGTAGCATGTGCAATTATTTTAATAAGAGGACAAAAACTGCCTGAAGAAAAACAAATGGGAGTGGCATTAAATGCCACATTTAAAAGGAAAAAGTCCTTTGACACGCATTGATTTTTTTTTCCCGGATCATAATGAGCTTTGTGCAAATCCTTGCCAACATCATACCTGTGTATCCAGTTCCAGCATGCTGTAGTGGCACTGTTAGTGACATGTGCAGACACCTCATACACCTGTGAGAGGAAAAAAAAAAAAAAGCTCAAACCCCTGTCAAAGCAGTTGTGTTTTGTTAAGCTGAGGTTTAAAGCTGCTGCCACTGTAAGCTCGAGAGTGCTGGAGGTGGGATTACTGACTCTTTTTCATTGCTGAGCCACAAATCTGGAGTTTATCCAGGGATGTAAAGAACAAAAAAGGCAGATAAAAACACCATATGTCAAAAGTTCCTACGAGGTCACCACAAAAGGTACGTAAAGAGAAGAAAGGGGGTGCTTGAACGCGGCGTTCGCAGTTAACTTCAGGGCAAAGTTACAGCAACAGGAGGCCGGTTTGGCGGGGATGATCATTACTGGACGTTAGTGCGACACACAATGCGTTTGAGTGAAATGCTAGTCTATTTTAATGGAAACATCCACCACCAGTACACTGTATACGAGTGCAGGCTTCACTGCTGGCTCAGGAATGTTGGCATCAAGTATGCAGTCCTGACAGACAGCTGCACTGCAGTCAGTGGCGTTTTTAACATGCCAGACGCAGACCCAAGCATGCTGGAGGCTCCGAAGAAAATCAGAAAGTGTGTCTAAAGAGTTACAGCAGATTCGAATAAACTTGAGTCACTGTGGGAGAAAAAAGACAGAGATAAATAGCTAGTTTTGATTTTTCCATGAAGGCCTGAGGGATCAAAAGTGAAATTTTTCATAAAGCACAACTTTAATTTCGTAAGAGTTATGTAAAACATTCATAGGAACAGATTTAGAGCACAAACAATGAATAAAATGTTGATATTCACGAACAGTGTTTTTTTAAATGTTATTTCAAGGGCATATGGTGACTTCCACTACAGAGACGTGTCTGTTTTTAATGCAGTACTGTCCAAAACCATCTAGTATGGGATTTGTCGCTTTTGTGGAGAGATTATTGTGATTTACAAATCATCTAATTCTGTTTTATCAACAATTTACACAGCAATTAAACTGTTGAAATAAAATATGTCAAAATGTGCAAACAAGTCAAACTTTTCCTCTTGAATCTGAGAAATTCAGGCAAAAGTCTAGCCTCACTTTCCTCCTCGGTTAAGGACTAACTTGTGGACACGCTCGTCTTCCTCGACTACCTTTTCATCTCCACATGTCAAGTGATGTTTCTGCCCTCTGCCATTTCACCTACACATCATACTACACACTGCATTCATTGCATTAGGTGTCTTCCTCCTGATCCCCTGCCAGTCCTGTTTATTTTGCACATGTTCAGCCCCGCCCTGCAGACGCGCTGATATCACGCAGTTGCGTAATTTGACAAGCCAGCGCAAAAAAGGCAGAATGAGCGTTTGACAGCTGCCTCCTTGCTCGTATAGGTCGTTCCGAAACAAAAGAATACCTATGTTTAATTTATTTGTGAAAGGTTTCGGGTAGTTGCAGACCGTGTATTTTTGCTTTTATGGCCGCCACCGTGAGAAGTCATAATGTTTGGGTCGCTCCAGGGCAGGACGCGCAGTTTCTCCATAGAACAGCGGACGGTCTGAGAGGTGAAGATCACGGACAAGTGCTGTGTAGCCCGAGGGATGCCGTCCTGGGAACTTCCTCTTATCAGGATTATAACATGGTAGGAGATTGCTTTTTCCTCTTTTGCTCCTCTCTCGGAGCATCAGTGTGTTTTCTTGCGTCCGCTGATTTTGACGCAGAAAGACAATGTTGCTGATCAAAGCGAAAACCGACTGTTTGCATGCAAAGATGCGGGAGGCAGGCCTGGTGTGTTTGTTTAAAATTCACAGCTTCTATCCGAAACCACGTGACTTAAATTGGCGTTGAATCGTCGGTGTTGATGCTGACATTCAGGCTGAATCACGCGCAGCAGGGCACGCATGGTTGGGATGTGAAACGTTGCACCCGCTCCAGAAACTTGTGAGGAAGATGCATAGCGGCACAGAGCAACTGGATGTTCTAATTTCAGACATGTATTTCCAAACAGCTTAGGCTGGAGCGTTTCAGGAGGGCGTCTGCTGCTTGTGACGGCACAGGGAGGGAAGGAGGGAGGAAGGGGAGAAAGGTGGGGGTCTTTGATGTGGCAGAGTCAGACAAGTGCAGGCCCTGAATGCATCCTTAAATGCAGTCACATCAGGTTTTTCTCATGTATGATGCATCATCTATTAAGCCTCTTTTTGTAGCTGTCCACGTGTTTTTCATGCAGATCTTTCGATTTTAAAACTTTACAGGGCAGTATAGCACTGAGGCATTCATGAAAAACTGGGCTGTATCAAGGTTGTTTGTGCATCTATCATACTAAATTTCCATTATCAATGTCAAAGTCATCTAAAAGTAGATATGTTTGGATTTTCCAGCCTGGTACACTTTCAGGTACTTTGAGTATTAGCCAATGTGCCTTGTAGGATTAAATTTGATTGCTAACAGTGTGACATGGCCTGATATCCTAACCCAAAAACAAGCTTAAAGGATATTCTGGTGTAAAATGAATTAAGGGTCAAACACACTGTAACACTGAGTTAAACACCCCCTCAAGAGGTGAATGTCGCCAACTGCTTGCTTTTCTAGTTATACCAACTTTAGTAACGACCGCAGGATAGCAATACACAGCGGTCTGAGGAGCCATACGCAAACCTCAACCAAAACACCACTCTATAGCCACAAATAATGCTCAGAACAGCACCTAACTTCATCAACAGTACATATAGGGTCCCAGCCACAGCACTAGCCACCAAACATCTTTAATTTTACCTAATTTCTTTAGCGAAGAGACTAAACACAACTCACCTACTCTCTTCCAGCAGCTGCTTGTGTGCAGCGAGTCCATCGACTACAGTGGGGTGACGCAGCTCAAGGAAGAACATTTATGATCGTTTCTTCATGGAAATGCAATCAGACCGAGACGCTAAGGCAAAAGAACTACAGTGCCAAATGATTAATATGGTGATTATTAATTCAAGGAAATGATAAAGTAATGATCATAAATGTTCTTCCTTGAGCTGCGTCACCCCACTGTAGTCCGTAATGGACTGGCCTGAGGTCTCGCTACAAACAAGCGGCTGCTGGAAGAGAGTAGGTGTGTTGTGTTTCGTCTCTTTGCTAAAGAAATTGGGCAAAGTTAAAGAGTTGTTTGGTGGCTGGTGCTGTGGCTGGGACTCTACTGTATATGTACTGTTGATAAAGTTAGGTGCTGTTCTCCGCATTATTTGTGGCTATAGAGTGGCTTTTTGGTTGACGTTTGTATCAGACCACTGTGTATTGCTATCTGCGGTCTTTACTAAAGTTGGTATAACTAGAGAAGCAAGTGGTCGACAACATTCACCTCTTAAGGGGTTGTCTAACTCTGTGTAACGGCTGGGTTTGACCCTAAATTAATTTTACGCCGGAATATCCCTTTAAGCTAATGTTAGCAACAACTCCATTTCTGAACCTCTATCAATGTCATCTATCAATATCCTCTTTGAGTGATGGCCAACTTTTATGGCCTCCAGTGTAGCCAGATATAGGACTTCCCATGAGCAGTTCCTTTTCCATGAGTTGCTTTTGTTTCAATGCAACTGGTGACCTGCGAAACATAAATTGGGTATGTTTTGAGACATAACATCCTCAAGTGCAGAGTGAGGCAAGAATGGTCCTAAGAATGGAAAGTCTTCCCTTTGCATTTTTTTAATATCTCTTTGTATGAAAACGGTGTGAAATTGATCTAGATGTACTTGGATCCCCGAAAACTATTGAAAATGTTGGATTTTAGTGATCCAGACCATGTGGCCCAGCTAGAACAGACACTTTAGTGCTGTTTGTTCACATACAAGAGCTTTCGTTCCCGTTCAACTCATCAGTATCTGCTTACGTCTCAGTGTATAGTGTCTGCTGCTACAGTGACAGATAGGGCAGGGTGTTATGGGCTAAAAACATTAAACTTGATTTAAATGTTTTCTTTTTCGTCTCAAATTAAAAATACTAATGACAAGGACACAACTCTAAACACAATGCTTGTTGACTGAAAAGACTAGGCCTTCATGGAAATAATCTCTTCACTCACACTAGCAGCCATGTTGTTTTTGTGTGTTTGTCTCTGCAACAAGTGAACTGGGGGGTACAGGATGCAAATGACAGGAGAACAGAACAGAAATTTTTATTTCTGTAAATCTTACAAAAACCTCAAAAAGCAATTATTTAATTTAGGTCAATGACTGCACAGCCCTAATGATGGATTCCTGCAGTAGAGTCAGGTTACAGGAAAATGTCTGCAGGAAAGAAAACTAATCAGATTTAGAGGATTTATTTGTTCATTTACCGTAATTAAATAAAATAAAAAATGCAATATCAATATTTTTAATCCAGCTATTCCATACTGCTATCACAGTTTGCAGATGCTGAGTTACCACTGCGGTCATGGCTGCCACCAAAGATGGCGCTGCAATGAAACTAGTTGCTGGATTCATCTATAATGTTACTGTTCGCCTCGTCTCTTGTTCGTTAGATACCTTTTTACTTTCAGAAACTTTTAACTCGTCCTCTCTAGTGTAAATATTTTCACACAGAAATGGAGCAAAAACCAGCCTTAAGCTGACACTGTTCCTTTCCCAAACCATCACATTTCAGATTAATGTAGTTTAACTTGGTTGACATGATTATCTCATTCTCTTCCAGGGTAAACTAGATATGGACAACTACCTGTCAGCGCACCAACAGGACATGAATTCCAAAATGTTGTGCAGGGACAGCACTCTGACGCTAGAGCCGCCTCCCACCGAGGACTTTGCCTCCCCTTACAGCGTCAACATGAGTCTACTCCTTCCTGAAGTCACGTACCTCCGTCCTGGTCTCTGCAGGACTGTGAGACACATCAAAACCGAGCCACAGCACTCCCTGATGCACTCCGCCTGCCAGGGTAGTGGAGCACCACCAACCCTCCCCGAGTACCCAGGTGTTTTTACGGTAGCTGACGGTGCTAGTGGCAACTTTTTTATCAAACAAGAGGTGCCAGATTTCCAGGATGTTCCCATGTTTCAGCTTTTGAACTCAGACTTGGAGCAGATTGTTCACGGGTCACAGCTGAACTCCATCCCCATGGCGCCCTTAAGTCTACCTATTGGTAACATCCATGCAGGCTCAGCGCAGAGTACCGCCAAACACTCGAGCAGTTCCCATAATTTCCCATTTAATCAGCATACAAGCCATCACCAAGGGCCAACCTATCTGCCACCTTCTCCGCCAAACTCTGAGCCCTCAAGTCCAGACAGAGGGAAGGAGCTCCTTCAAAATCTGTCCCCGCCTCCCTCCTATGAAGCCAGCATCGCCTCCAAGCTAACTTTTCAGACCCACAATCCTATTAATCCAGGACAGACGTCTAGTGCAGCTCTGATTCAAAGCCAAGACCAGAATTCTAATGCAGGATTAGTCCAAAGCCCAGGTCCTGTGCCAGTCCAACGTTCAACCCTGACACCAGTTCAGATGACACCGGGAGTTGGACCACTGTCCCCAGTTTTGGCCCAGTCGGCTCAGGGCAAATACAATCGACGGAATAATCCTGATCTGGAGAGACGAAGGATACACCACTGTGATGTCCCAGGTGGGTTTTTAACTCAGTCTGCACAGCAACACTAAACTCGTCTATGAGAGGGTACCGAAACATACATGTATATTTTAAGATCCTGCCAAAATGATCCTAATATGCTTTTTTTCAGGGTGCAAGAAAGTGTACACCAAATCTTCTCACTTGAAAGCTCATCTACGGACACACACAGGTAAACAACAGTCGGAGTTGCTTTTCTTTTTTGGGGGGTGAAAGTGGCAATGTTGCCAGGCAGAAAAATGCACTTGGCATGCAAATGCATTCTGTCTGCTGACAGACCTGGAACACATCTCACTGCTGTCAAATCACATAAACCCCTGCAGCTCCATAAAGGCGGCACAGAAGAGGACAGGCCATGCCGTGATTTATGACTGAGGCATGTTTTTAAAAAAAGAAAAGGTGTCAGCTTTTTTATCATCAAAGCAGTCTACTAAGATTTGGGATTTTTTAAGACACCTCACACTTTTAAATTTTGTTCTTATTTTGGGAAATGTGTCCAAATACGTGTTGTAATTAATATTTTCGTTTTCTTGTTTTTCGTTTGCTGAAGGAGAGAAGCCGTACCAGTGCTCGTGGGAGGGGTGTGAGTGGCGTTTTGCCCGATCTGATGAGCTGACTCGCCATTTCAGGAAACACACCGGGGCAAAGCCATTCCAGTGCGGTGTGTGTAACCGCTGTTTCTCCCGCTCTGATCACCTGGCTCTTCACATGAAGCGACACCAGAGCTAAACAAGCCAATCCTTTTTTTTTGATTATTATTTTGTCAGTGAAAGTGGACAAAGTAGTGGCACTGAAATATCAGCAAACATTAAAAAATGTGGAGGCATTCTGAACAGTGCTGCCCATATTCGATTACTTATTTTTTGTAGAAAGTTTGATCTCTACTGTTGCCTTAATTTATTTCCACATGTACTCTGACATTGAGGGAAAGTAGCAAAGATGTCAGTCAGGAATTATTTGCCAAAAGCGATCACAAAACCAAGCCTTTAATTTTCTCTCTATTCATTTGATGCAATGCAAAGTACACAGCCAGCTCCAAATACATGTAGTTACTTTTTCATTGTACAGAAGTTTATGTGCATGTTATGCAAACTGATTTTCTCAACATGAGTAGCAAACTGCCACGCTGTAAGTGCAGATATAACATTAATATTACCTGGACAGTTAGAGAATGTGCTGTTTTAAGTGATAGAAAGAGTTTGTGAGTGTGTAACATAGAAAGTCACAGAAGTTAGTCTGAGTTGTGTGTCAGTAAGTTTCGGATTGAAGAAGAGAAAGCATTTTTCCAGCTGTGGGCAGTGCTACAGTACAATTCTACACTGCCAGATTCATGAGTTACTTGACTCCTCAAAAATGTACCTTCTTATTTACTCACAGCTGTTAAATAATGGTAGGATTATGGTTTTTAGATTGAAGTCAGATTTGTTTAAACAGCACTTTGAATGTTATACATCTAAGTATGTCCCTTTATGATAGCATAGATGTAGTCATTACTGAAAGTGATGAATGTCTTTCATGCAGGTGCAGATAAAGAACCAAACAGTGCATTTTTTTTTCATTTTTGTATCAGGACAACAAGAGATGAAATTATTTATCAAAGTTTAACTTATTTCAATGGATGTATGTTTTTTTTTTTTTATGTAGCCGTACTCAAATAGCAATATCTAATTTTGCACTGAGAGCAGAGTAACAAAAGTGCTTAAACTAAACTTTGTGCACACGACGTTTCATCAGCAGCTTCTAATTCTCCTGGAATTTGTTGTGATGTACAAATTCAGACTCATTCATTTAGACTTTGTCTCTCTTGGAAATTCTCTTTCCCAACATTAAACACCTTTTAACAGGATTACAGCATCACATTACTGGATATTTGTCTTTGTAAGTGGTTTCAAAGTGATGTCTGAGATTTTTTTTTTAGACTGAGCACCTGCCAGTCTTAACATCTGTGGAGGCTTTTGGTTTCTTTGACGACGATCCAAACACCTTTTGAAGTGCCTTTAAATGCTTTCTTTGATTAATGAAAAAACAAAGTTCTTTTATCAGGTACTCGTCTCTGCCAAAATGCTTCTGTATCTTGGCTAACCCTCCTTTTTTTCCCCACAATATAGCAATCTCTATTTATGACCAAGTTTCTTGACAAATTCAGTCAGGTTGAATTCAATAGGTTTTTAGAGCCTCTATAATTTGTTATAATGTGTATATATATTTTTTGTATCTGCTGTTTAAGGATACACCCATTGATGGTTTTTTTTTAATGTAAAAAGGTTTTAAACTTTTTTTTTTTTAATCACAGAGACTGTTTATTTTTATTTGTCTAAGTTTAGGAGGGATCAACTGATATAATATTGTAAAAGTCACTCTCCAGCTGATCTGGTCGCTCATTAGAGTGTATGCCTTTGATTTACTGCAATACTTAAGAATGTACTAATGTACAAACACATCATATTTTGACATGAGAGGCTGTATTTTATGTCAGACCATGAAAATGTAGCCTAAAGTTATCAAATGTGCTCTGAAGCCATGTGACCTTCACAATAAAAATAATAGTTTGTGTTGAATATCAGATCTCCTCCGTCTGGTTTTATAAGTAATTTTCTTAAATCATGCCTTAGTATACAAGTTTTGGATGTTTTCACTATGTGGTGACAGCTTTTCTTTAGACTTAATTATTATTTTCTCATTTTTGACTACTATTAAGTTTGAGGATTTTAGGCAACAATGATATAGAGCTTTCTGTTTGTAAAATATTTTTACAGTTTTAGCACATCTATCCATTCATTCTGGCATCTGCAGTGGTCCTGAAGGTCAATTTCACTCGTGTGAAATGAAATGCTAACCAAGATTCACTAAATGTCAAATATATTCCATCAAATATACAAAAGACAAACATTTTACATGATGCAAAATATGCAAAAACATTTCATGAGATGAACTGGACAGAAGCTTTCTTAAAATACAAAGACATTTCCCCGGATGAAAAATTATTTCATAAAACAAACAATATTTAAGATATTTCAATATTTTCTTCCTTTTTCAGTGAGCTTTATATTCTGGTTATGAAACATTGATGCATTTTACCTTTAAGGCCTCCATACAAGCCTGCTGTACTAGTACTCGAGTTGAGGGGGGATGAGGGGGGAGGCATCCCACCTGAAATGAAAATCACCCCCTTTTTACACACCCACATACGCGCCAAACATTTCCCTCCCCGCGAGAGTCGCTAATTCCCCACTAAACAGCGATACTTTACCTTCTTCTTTCCCTGTTGGATAGGGTATCTAAGGGTGCACACTAGGAGCCCTACCGGCTGACTTAAACATACATTCACATAGATAATCATCTCACCATTTACTTGCCGGGCGTCCATTCATGCCATCATGCCGGATCAGGTTTCCAAACGAGTAAACAGAGCACGTGATTTCCGTACGTAAAATAGGTGGGTATGGAGGGTCAAAGTGGTCACATGATGCATGAAAAAATAATTCACTTGTTGTTTGCCGTGAATCCCAAAAAATTTGTGCTCTATTTATTTGTGTAAAAACTTAATTAAAGTGGTAAAAACTTACAGAAAAAGGTCTTAAGGTTAAAAATGGTTTAAATGTGAATAAATGAGTTTTTTCTTTCAAACTTATTTTATCAGTGACGCCCACTGGGAGGGGCTAGGGTTTTTTTAAACCCCCTAGCCTGGGCTGCCTGGGCCTTTCTTTGAGTCTGGAGTTTGTTGCGAGGAAGGTAACTCCAAACTGACTTTTGTAGTGCTGCTGTGTTTTTTTTTTTTGTTTTGTTTTGTTTTGTTTTGTTTTGTTTTTTCTTGAGGGAGAATCCAAAGTTATAGTGGAACTTCCGCCTTATTGGCATTTCTTTTTTGCCTTGTACATTTTGTAAATGGTATTTGACCATTTTTTTTTTTTTTTTTTAAATATTTTTGCACGACAACTTGGAAGGCCGGCTGTAAATATATATAACCTATATATACCTATATAGCCTGTGTTTTTCCACTATATTTTGATTGTTTAAGCGAGAACCCTGCAACAGGGGGCTTTGTGCATATTTAGTAAAATACTCTGGGTGAGGAGGCACATTCGAAAAAGACACTTTTTCCCCTTTTTAAATGACATCAACGGTGAAGCAGCGCTGGTGACGCTGTGGTGATTTCAGTATTGTGGCCAAGAGACATGGATAGCTCGATCCGAGGGATAATATAATATAATAATTATCTTTGTGCTTAAGCAACAATAAAATTTGGTTTCCCACTTTGTACACTGTCATTTGAACAAAATATCTGTCTCAAACAATAAAATCCACTATCCCCCCTGATTTTTTTCACAACTCGACTACTGCTGGTGCCAAAGAGTTTGTTCTGATCATAAAATCCTGTTTAAAATGAGTGTGCATACACATAAATAAGTGAAGTACTCGTAAATATTTACCGTTTGTACAGTTTTCACATCCAAAGTTGCATCATAAGGTTTTTTTCAGCTGAAGTTCTTATTGGTTTTTCATTGGATAGAAATGCATTTTGGCGTCAGTATCTAGTAATTATTTGAGTGCACACCCTTCTCTGCACTTGACTGGAATCCAAATGAGATCCAAATAAAACAAGATTAGTCCTTGTTTTGCTTGTTTGCTTCTTGTTAAGTGTCCTTATCATGAGTCATAGCAGAGGTGTAGACAAAAGGTGCCAGGAGAAGCTGTGCCAGCCCCTGAAGTTGTCTGAGCTTGTCCTGAATTATAATAGCACCCATGCATGCTCACGGCTTTACTTTACACTTTGCTTGTACAGTATAGGCTACACTAAAAGGGCTTTTGTGGGAGATAAATCACACATGTGATATACTACACACTGAAAAAGCTCAGTGGATTGGGAATTGAAACCTTGTTATTGTAATCATCTGAATCCTTTGCTGGATGACAGAAACATTAATCCAGATCCAGTTATTATAGAGCAGTGTACAGGATGTACTGGGTGTATTCTTTTAAGTGCAACCTGTTCTTAGAAACTGTACTCACTACACGCTGTGCTAAAACATAGCAGGGCTTAAAATATCACCCTGTGTGGGTAATAGATAATAACAAAACATTATGATACTACAAAGGCACACAATGTTTAATAGGATATACATATATATATATATATATATATATATATATATATGCCTAGGAAATCGGTTACAAAATTGTTGGAACATTAAAAAAGTTTTTGATTTTCTTCTATGGACCATTTTGGGTCGTCTTAGTCTGTTTTCACAGCAATTGATTTACTCTGTGATCTGCAGTGCAAGCTTAATCCTGAGCTGGAATTTGATTGCTTTTGTCTTCCATCAGGTAAATGGGGAAATTCTGGTAATCTCTTAATAATAAACTACAGTCGTGTCCTTCTTTTTCTGAAAACTGTGAATAAATTTTACAGTGGCGCTTCGATAACGTTTTAAATGAGAATTAAGTACGTTTTATGCATAAAGTGAAGCTAGCAAAAGTCCAAAGCCCATGCAGGTGGGCGTGAGAAACCCCTGCTACATTACAAAAGACAACCTCTGGCTGTATGAAGTGTCATGATATTTTGCACTGACCTTAAAGGGACAATGTAAAGTTAGACAGTGGTTAGGCTATTATATTTTACCTATCTACCACCTAAATGTAAGTTTTTTTTTTTTGTTTGTTTGTTTTTGTTTTGTGAATGCATTATTCATACAGCTGTACAAGCAGTCCCTCTGTTTTGAAGGTTTGTGGGTCAAATTAACATGACAGTGAACATTTTCAGTCAATTTAGTCAGTGTTTTCTCAAGGTGTTTTGACCAATCAGGTGTGTTTAAAGAATGCTGGGTAATAAACCACTCTGTCATTAATGGTAAAGTGTGTCGTACTCTATATTGGAGCTTAATTTTATGTGTCTTTTTGTGTATTTGATGTAACTTTGACGAGGTGCTTACTTTTTGCTTTACCTTCCTGTTTACATCTTGATGTGTGAACTATTACGTCTTCGTAAAAATACAGTAAATGTCACTCTGTTTGAGGTTATTTCACCTCCTCTTATAATTTAATTATAGAGCGGTAAATCTAAGGTCGTCTCGGATTTTGTCCCCGTCTGGTAGTGAGTGTGTCAGCGACTAGCTTCTGTGCTGAACATCACCGATAATTTAAAATGGTTTCCCTAATACCAAGATAAGGTTTCTGAATGCCAGAGAATGTGAGTACCATGCTCGAATGTCCCAGTGATACCCAAACCACATACCACCCATCTCAGTCAGAGATAGAAACTAGCTCCAAATACCAGTGTGTTACATACAAAATGCAACTTTATTAACCTTCATGCCTCCATTCATATTGATATACATGTATATGTTTGAACTTATTTTAAATTTCACAGCTCCATCCATATGAAAAATACAGAGAAAAAGGCAAAACACTGACTGGATACTTAAACAACTCTTGAAGAAAAAAAAACTGTAACAGAAAAAAAGGACACCTGTTCTTGAAGTTTTTGAAAAATATCAGGTTAAAAATTTCTTTTTCAGATGTGGAATTCCTTGAGCAGAATCTCCCTTTTGAAGCGATGCTGAGCAATATCACAATTTTTTTCGTTTTCATTTTTTTACCAGTAAGAATGAAAAGATCTGAATATATTTACACTACACTCACTTTACATAAATACAGGAACAACGATTACTGTACGTAATATCAGCAAACTTGAAACATAGGCATTGGCTTCACTACTTAAATTTTCAAAAACCAGGAAACAAAAGCAGATGTTAACACAGAAAGTAAAATTAGATATTGAACCGATAAAGAAGTGTAAGATCAGTATTCATTAACAAAGGCGCCACTCCACAGCCACAGGAATATGTTTTTTTATTCCTGCGAGTAAGATTCCTCATCATCCTCCATCAGACCACGGCGTTGAATTCATATGATGGAGCAGAAATATCAAGAGGCCTTTGTAACTCAGTTTGTCCCCCTTAGAGGAAGTGACTTATTGCAAGCAAAGTAATAACGCGAGCTATAAAACAGCCGGTGAAGTGTTATGGGAGGATGCTGTGTTTGACACAATGGCATAAGGCTCAGTGCGAAAAAGAAAGTTAAACATTAGAGGTCCGACTTGCATAATGTTGTCTGTGCTTTTTCTAAAAACAAAAAAAAAAAAAGGATGGTTTCCCATTTGAAATTTTATTAATTTGAGCACACATGTTGAAATCTTAACTCTGCACGGAGCAGCTGATATTACAAGTTTGCAATATGAGGCACTATTTATTATTATTATTGCATAACTTTGACCCTGGTTACCGTTACAAAATTATGCTTTAAAATGAGGAAAGAGATGCTGGAGGGAGATAGACCACACCCTGTCCTGTGGAGACACCGTATTCAAGTCTCGCTGAATTTAGAGAAAAGTGGCGTATTAAGGCATGCAATGTCATTTACTGAACACGAAAAGTACACGTGTTGTTGATATGTGCTTGATCAATAGAATTTCTTGTCTGGGTATATCAAAATAGCAACACAGGGAAATCGAGTACCTTATTACGGTTATTGTATATAAATAATTTGTTGATTATAGCAAACACTGGTTCAGCCTTAGGAATAAAAATGGTTTCGATCATGAACTTAGTTAACCACAAACCGAAAGAAAGCAAACTGTTATATAACATCACATATGATAATTTACATGATGAAACACCATTAGCCCCATTTCACTGTATATCAAATTAGATAAATTACAGTCTCTGAAAAAAGACTTTACATGTATAAATGTATTTCCTGCATCTACTAATCAAAAGCCCTATTTTTCCAATGTATATACAGGCTGTAGAACTTTGTAATAAGTTTTTATCTTCACTATCACATATATTACAACATTTCAAAAGATCCTTTGTACAGAAGAAAAAGAGTTATATGCAATGATGAAGTGCCCCTCAATAATAAAATGTTCTCATACATTATATGGATGATAAAATAGGAGGATTATTTGTTTATAAATCGACATCTGAAATAAAATAATTTGAAAATCATACTAATAAGACAAACAAGGTGCTGATATGCTTTTTTGCCAAAATGATAATACAACTGGGCATGATGACATGTGCACAAACAATATACATTAAATAATGATAACATACATTACTAATCTTCATTAAACCAAAGGGCTGTCACATACTGTGTGTGCATGTGTGGAAATGACTTCCTGGATTTGACTGCTTTACGAAAAAGGGAGGGTGTAAAATACAAATGTGCAGGTGTGTGTGTGTGTGTGTGTGTAAGTGTACGGTTTTCAAGGTGCTATTAACAAAAAGGCTGCTATTTTTTTTACTGGCTTCTGTCCAATAAATGCATTTAGCAGCACTTTGAAATAATATGAAGTGGCCCTGGATTCTCTTGGGTTTATGTCTTACACAGGGATTGGATATTTGAGATAAAAGCTTGTTATTATGACTGTAAAAATATACCTTTTTAACTCAGTTTAATTTCCTGATTGAGTCGAAATAAGATTCTATAAGAGAGCCAATGTTTATGCCAGTAAGAGTATCTACAAATGTAGTCTAAGTGTATTTTGTTATGTATACGGTCTCTAAATATATGCATTTAATTCCTCCTAATTTCTACATTTTTCCAGCCAAATGTCAGGTAGATCAGAAAATAATCTAAACACATATTTTATCCGAGGTGATAACTTTTCAAGTGACTGTATTTGAAAGAGAGAGAGAAAAAAAATGCAAACAAAAAGATAACTTGCTCACTGAAACATGCATCAGATCAGAGCCTTGTGCTGAAGCTACAAATCAATCAAAACAGGGAATCACGGTTGAAACGTCTCCGATATGTTGACATCAGCAAACAGACCAAAGAGGAGGCCGACTCTGCTTCTTTCGCTTTGTTCTGTATGTATTGCTCTTCTGTGTTTGACCTCTGGTAGCACTCTATCCCTGTAACACTGCAGCCGACCAAAGTTTCAGCTTATGGTCTGTGCAAAGAAAAAAAACCTTCAGTACTGAGAGAACAGCTAAATAATGACAGAGAGTTCTGGACAGGATGAAATCATGAGTCTGTAAGGTGCCTCTATTTTTTTCACATACTGAAAATCTCCTCTGATTGTTTTAAAGTTCACTGTACATGAGGGGTTGTATTTTTCTGAGTCAAACATAAGCAAAGAGCAGGCATTTCAAATAAAAAAAATCAATAAACAAAACATAGTCATACTGAAAGTATATTTATCTTTTAAGATTGCACTTTACTGATTGCTAATCACAGCACAAAATCCACCAAAGATTTGTTTTAATAAGAAAATGCTTTGAAAAGGCTCAACATAAAGAAATGCACTGATGAGACGTGAGGTCGTCTTTGAATGGTGTGTTTCCTTGCTGGTGTGATGATATGACAGTCCGGTTTTCATTGATTGGAATGAAATGATGAGTTTTCTAAAACTGTAGATGTATTGATGAGGTCGATCCATATTTGAATAAATGTCATTATTGTTTGCCAGAGATGGTAAAGGTGAAAGTCCAGCCCTCTTTTTGCTTCTGTATGGCATGCCTCCGTTTCGACAGCAGGCTCCAGCAGGCAAAGGAGACCATCTGTGGTAAAATGGCGCCATCTGCTGGTCAAAATTCAGACTCACAGGGAGGCACGGCGCAACAATACTGCCTTAAACTCCAACAAGGCCTGACAACTCTTCTGTGATCCAGTCCAGGCCTAACCTCTGCTCCCGTAGGAAATCCATTCCTTATGATGGGGTCCTTCACATTATGAATGCTTCGAAAAGCAGCCGTTTGAATGAAAAGAAAGATACCAAAAAAAGACAGCTGCGATTGCATTATATTTCTTTTCTTTTTTTTGTCCAAATAAGAGAGCAAGTTCTTTAAAAATCAAAGTGAAACATTTACAAACAGTGCTGTAAAAGACAGTTCCCTAATAAACTCCAAACAATGACAATAACAGATCCTGCCGTCTTTTCCTTCCAGCCCAAAGAGGATCCAGAAGTGACCCTGTTTTGTGCTCAACAAGCCCTGTGCACGTCTCCATCTTCTCTCCTCCCGACGGATGAGAGTGTGTGTATGTGTAAGTGTGTGCGCATCCAGGCCAGCTGAAAAACATTCACAGGGAGAACCCGCTCCCCCGGCTGCCTGAATATGTGTGTGTAGGTCTGAATCATTGATCTCTCTCTCCTTCAGATCTCTCTTCATCTGATTCACACCAGCATGTGTCTCCGTCGGTGCAGGGCCAAGTGGTCAGATCTGGAAAAGCTGCGGTCACAGTCTGCACACTTGAAGGGCTTCACCCCTGTGTGTTTTCTGTAATGCCTCGTCAGCTCGTCGGAGCGGGCGAACTTCCACGTGCAGCCGTCCCAGGTGCATTTGTATGGCTTTTCCCCTGCAGAGAAACATAGAAAAACAATTCAGACGCATGTCTATCGAACGAAAGCTACTTTCCAGGGGTTCCCCAAGTGTATTATAAGAATAGCTTAATACCTTTTAAGTATAAACATAATAAGCTATTGTTGCTTTAAAAGGAGGCCTACATAAGACACAACCTTATTGGATCACTATTCGTATGGTACTATATCATACCCCACAACACAATAGGTGTCTATATTTTGTGGAAACTTGAAAACACTTCTTCTTTGGGCTTCCATTTTCTACCCTGTAACATCGACTTGTTACTCTTCAACGTCCTTTCCAGCCAAACTTTCCCAAAGTTTTTGATTATAACCCAGGCACAGTGTTAGTGAAAATGAAATAATGAAACAATTTCTGTCAATAAAACCAGAGAGGTGAACAAGCAAGAATAGAGCTGAAGTGATAAAGTGATAGTTTCTACACTGTCCTTTGGTGCCAATCCAGAAAGAGGAGGGTCTGAGGGTTGAATGCCTGTATTAGTGATGTGTCCTGGTTAATCCTATCACAAGTGGACAGCTGTTCACACCTGAACTGATCATTTCAATGAGTAAATTCAATTTCACAGAGCTAACAAGGCTCATCTCCTGCTTGTGTTATTCACAGCATGTGGAGACATAGTTAATATCTGTAACTGACTGAGCCCAAAGTGGGTCTTGATTGGCGGTACAGATACCATTATTTAGAGCTCCACTCTAACGTTCTTCATTATTATTCTTTCCATTTATGCTGTGCTTGCATGATTATTGTATGTCACTGTCATAGAGAAAATTTTAGCGTGACAAGCAGAGCAAACATGGCTAAGCACCGACTTGACGTAACAGAGAAGTGAAATCATACTTCATATTTCCTCAAAATGCAGAAATCTGTTGTGTTTTTTACAACATATACAAGACATGAATGTATGAGAATCTCCCTCTGGACATTTTGTTCATTTAGTCAAGTCACACATCATAACTGCCCTTGCAGGAACCAATAAGTTTACAAGCTTCCATAAAGTCATTCAAACAGGTCTTTATATGCTGTCCTTGTTAAAGATAGAGGGTGTGGTGGTTGTTTCTGTTTATTACATGTCATTGTGTAGTTAGGCCACACCAGTGTTTGTGCATGTTTCCACTCCTTACTATGAACCAAGTTGTCCAATGTGGGAGCTTAAAGTACTCCCCTTAAAGTAGGCATGGTTATTACCTTTTATTTCTACCTTACATGTACATGAACTCTACACAGCGATGCCTCTGCTGGTGAGGCAGAAAATTGCACTCAAAAAAGGGCATACTCCAGCAGATTTCACAACATCTGGATTTTGTACTAACGCAACAAAACTCTGCAAAAGTCTTGGCTGTGTCATCAGATGTTTTTTTTTTCTGTTAACAGGCTAAAACATATCTCTTAATATGTTGACTTCAATAATGCTAATAGCTGCTATCCAGTAAGTAATAGTTCTACAATTTTAGTAGTACTTCCAAATAAATTGATTTCATTGATAATTCTGCTTTTTTAAGACTTCAAATTGTTTGGTTTGACCACAAAAGCAAATCAGTTAAAAAAGTGAATACATGTTAAGATTATCTGGGAGAGGTAACGTGTTTGGGTTGGACTATCGACTCCTTTTTGAGTTCATCCGTACAGAACCTTCATGGAAATCTATCCTTATTACGATTTTGTGTCTGATTAGATTCACAACATGAAAGATGTTCATGTTTGACCTTTGACTTTGAGCCGAGCTACATGGAGAATATGTCAATATATTGATGTTTGGTTGTGTGAAAATGTCTGTGTATGCACATATTAGTCATTTTGCTTGTAGTGATGAGGAGGATGCTGAACGGCACCAACACAAAACAACAGTATCGGTTTTACATCTACAATGCAAGTTTTACCTTCAAATTTCATCATTTTTTTCCCCCAAAATAGAACAAGTTACATGCCTATTATTGTCTTATTCATGTTTTGAGGTTAAAGCCTGACAAAGCTCTGGTCTCAGTCATGATTTAGAAGAACATTTCACTATTATTCTTTTTTGACTTCTTCAAAAACACAATTTAACAAAAATCCAGCGGTCGTACACTGGTTCTGAGAAGTCACTCACCTGTGTGCGTCCTCCGGTGTGCTTTTAAATGGGAGCTTTTGGTGTAGACCTTATTGCAGCCCTCAAAGTCACATCTGTGGATTCTTCTCTTTTTGGAGTCTGGAGACTCTGACCTGCGGGGGCGCCGTATGCTGTCAATACTGAACGGGGACATCGAACTGAAACAGAAGCAGATAGAAAGAGAGAATCATTAGACTTTGATGATGATGATGATGGTGATGATGATGATGATGATGGTGATGATGATGATGACCATACTTAAAACGGTCTTGTTGTATAATTAAAAACATTGATTTTAGTGATTCCCTGTTTATCTTTGCACCCCCCAGTGAGCATTTGGCGCATTCCTGCTAAGCTGCGAAGCTTTTTCACTCTCAGTAAGAGAGTGACATTTTCTCAGTGTATGTATTGTATGTTTGGATTCGACAGAAATGGTAGGGGCGCTATATTATGAACAATACAGTAAACCCAAACGACATTTTACACAAAGACCAAAAACAGCCCATGAGATTTGATTTTCCTTTCGTAGCTCTGGAACATTTTTATTAAAAAGTCTATGTTTTTGTGCACACAAGTGTATCTGTGTGTTTTGTGCATTTAAGTGATATCAGACAAAAAAGTACTTCATAGACAAGAGTGATGCACAGTAAAATACTACTACATGTAAGTGCTTTTAGTTCTTTGTGCTGAGTGACATTTTTTCACTGTTGCTGTACAAGTGCTGATCCTGGGAAGTGTTTTTGTTGCACAAGAGTATTTGGGATGTGAAACTGACTATTGTGGGAAGCTGAATGTTGGCAGAGAGATGTTGAATAAAGCAAACTCCTGCACACAAAAATAGGAGTAATAGTAATAGTAGTTGCTAAAGATCGGAAAGTATTTTTTTCTGCTGATATAAAACAGTTAATCTCCTTTGTCAGAAAACTTAGAAGCGGAAATATATTGTAATGTAGTGCAGTAGCTCTGCCAGCAGGTGGCAGTGCAGCACTGCTGTGCATCAACTAAAGAGGTAAATGAGGTAAGAAGGCTGGTATTCTTTCATCCATCAGAGGAGTTTATTCTCAATACTTGAGTGAGAATGATCATGACTTTTGCATGACGTTTTCCCCTCCATCGACTACTCAACGTTTCTCTTGATAATAAGATCAATCATTTTAAACTGTGACATCCAGCAGCAAAATGTGTGTTTTTGCATACAAGACTACAAGGAAGTGTCTCTCTGTGTCTCATTTTAGGATCACATTTGCGGTTAATGTAAATGTACTCAGGCGTCACTTCTCTGAAAATAATGCTGCACACCCACCGACCCACCCACACACCCACACACACACACAGACACAGACACACAAACCATTCTCACACACATATAAACCCAGGAAGGAACTAAAAGGAGGGTAGGGTTGTTGTGGTAGATGGTCATGTCTGGTTCATGGTTCATGTCTCAGTAGCAATTGTCAACTGTAAAAAAAAGGCGAGCACCTTTCACACAGTGATCAACCCAACAGCAGACGCACATATTTCCACACAACAAAAGGAAAATAAAAAGAGAGATACAGTAGAGAAAGAAAAAAGACATCTCTGTTTACTAGAGGGGAGGAGTGCTATCTGTGGGATAAATTTAACTGCACTGGAGCAGAGTTGCTTTTTTTTTTTTTCCAGGTCTCAGAGTCTCTTCTGTAGATACAGAGAAACAGGTAAGAACAGAGAGGGGAGAAAGGGGGAGAAAGGAACAGCTTCAGTCATGTTAAAGGGATTTGAAAGAGGAGCAGGGGCTGCCAGACGAGCTCTCAAGTGAACCTTCTCCTCCACTCACAAACCCGCTTCCTGTCTGTGTGTGTGAAGCACGATCTGTCAAACGCAGACGCAGATCCACGCACGCAATCATGATACTTACATACGAATGCACAGAAAAACAGAGGAAGAAAACACAAACATAAGCATCACCTGTTGATTTTGAACTTCTGCCAATGTGAAGCTGAACAGGAAATGAGTACATGGGTCAGATATGAAGTGAACTTTAACTCCCCTCTCTTTTCTCACTCGCTTCCTCCCTCTAAAGTCTGTATTCATCACTGACACATGATGCCAAAACCGAAGATTTATAGAAAGAAGTGTAATCATAAAACTGAAGGAAACAATGTAGACAAGAGCCTAAAGTCTCTCTCTCTCTCTCTGTATGTGTGTGTGTCTGTGTGTCAGAAGCGAAGAGGAAAGGCAGGATTTACAGTGGAAACACTCTGAGCTCAGACGCTCAGCAGATGAGGCGGATATTTACACTCTGACTTCATCCCTGAAGTGACTCTGTGAGTATGATATAATTTAGGAAGGTCTGAGTACAACAGCTCTGAAAACAAAGACCGAGTGACGACTCATTACTCATCAGATATTAATTCATCTCATTTACAACAACTGCTTCTCTACTGCCGGCCATGACGCTGACAAAACCCTGCTCTGGTTCTGAGGCTCACGCACAGATCTCTGCTTTATTACACTTTGGGTAACTATTAAAAACATACAAAATGTTCATGTCTTTGTCCTGAAAGAAACGTAGATGTTGAAATAAAAAAATGTAGTGGTGCTTCTGAGGGAATCAAGATCAAATTTATCGAGTAAAAATAAAATTAAGCTTTATTTAAGTGTAAAACTGTTACATTTTTAAGGAGATTTCATATCCAGGACATAGACAAACTACTCCCATCGTTTTCTTCACACTTTCCCATTTTCATAGCTGCTTGATATCCTCAAAATACTAGTGGTCACATTATTTATTAGACTCGAGGATCAAGATATTTTGGGACAAAAAGGTTTAAAATCCCTTCAACACACCATGTTTTAACTGTGGCTGAAGGTTTTTGCTTCTCTGTGGGTTGAAAAAATTTTCACCACTACTGGTCTGCTGGAAGATGCTACTAGAGTAGAGTTGCTATTTATATCAGCAGGCTGCTGTATGAGTAAATACACAAAACAGCCCTGTGTTGCTGGTAGTTGGTACATTTCAACCAGAAAAATCAGCCAATACACATGGACTTGTGTCACCACCAAGTATGGAAATCACTAGAGACAAGGCAATATCACCATATCACCCACTTCACTCAGGACTACACTTACTATTATATGCAACAATTGTATTTGGTGGTACCGCCCCATTATGAGAGCTTCCTGCCCTTCCACCTGAGGAACGCCAAACCCACAGTGAGGAGAGCGCAGAACAGAGTCAACGTCAGTGACAGTACATACAACACTGGGAGGATCAGACAGCACAAACGAAGGAGCTGAGGTGGAAGTGGGTGGCAGGCGATTGTGAAGGAAGCAGAAGCAGTTTAAACAGAACGCCCATTTTGACGTTTGCCTGCTGGATGTGAGGGAGGTTACCGGCTGAGCTGTCAGCTGATATTGGCTGGCTTGATGATCAGCTGACTTTCATGTCCTGCCTAAACCAACACTGTACACTCGATTACTTTAGTAACAATACAGTACTACTGCAATATGAAATCATTAGGATTACATATACTGCCTATTTTTAAGAGTCCAATTTCAGTCTCATAATTCCTTGTAATGCATCTGATTTCATATAGCGCTTTATCAGAGACCCTCAAAGCGCTTTACATTGGATACATCATTCATTCACTCACTCACACAGTCGCACCTTGATGGTGGTAAACTACCTTTGTAGTCACTGCTGCCCTGAGGTAGACTGATGGAAACATGGCTGCCAGTTTGCGTCTACGGTCTCTCAGACCACCACCACACAACACATTCACAATCATACACTAGTAGAGGACACACACTGGGAACAAGGTGGGTTAAGTGTCTTGCCCAAGGACACAATGGACAGACTCGGGGTAGGGGGGCATTGAACCGCCAACCTTCCAGTTATTGGACGACCGCTCTTACCTCCTGATCTACTCACGCAGCCATAGCCAATCTTGAGAGTTGCCATTGTCATAACAAAAACAGCTGACCTTGAAAAAATGTGTGGCCTCCAGCAGACTGATAAGCAGATGTACTTATTACTTAAACACAAAACAATATGAAAACAAAAGGATATGATGCGATACATTAGGATATAATGATCAATACAGTATGATAGGATGACACAATATGATTCAGTTTAACACACTTAGCTCTCCCAGTGCTGACAAAAAAGTAGAAAATGGTGATACAACCATGATATTTAAAAAAGAACAATAATAATACCAAGGATAAGTATGTATTTGTATAAGTGGCTCAGCTGATCCGCTTTCTCAGTTTGAGACTCGAGCAAATTCAGCTGTAAGAGTGTTTTTTTCAGCCACTGCCCAATGGGTCTTCATGTCTTGTAACTGCATCTTTGGCTGAATGTTTCATAGATGAGAATCGGTTGTTGTAGTTGCTCATGTGAGCCCAGAGGCTAGAGCTCACACTGTCTTGAACTCTGTGTGTCACTTCTGCAACATGGCCGTGTGAATGTGTGTTTGTGTCTCATGAAGCAGCAGCAGAGAGAAATAGGAAGTACTGCAGAGAATTATTTCAAACACAGCTGACCTCTGTTTGGTTCCTTTGTTTCCTCTTTTTTTTTTAGCTCCTTTTCATCCGTGACGGGGTCTGAGAGGCAGCGAGGGAGTGTGAGTATCTAGTGTATGTTTGTGTATGTGTATGTGTGTGTGTGTGTGACCTGTATCAGGGGTTTCCCGCCGTGTGAACACAAAACATATTTTTCCAACTTCTCATAGGAAACACGGACATAACAAAGAAGAGTTTCAGCACAGAAACAGGATTGCAAGGTTCCTAAACAGACCTACAGCAAGAGTGGATTTATCAGGAAAACAGGAAATAAAGTGTGTGTGAGTGTGTGTGTGTGTATGTCAGTGTATGTGTGCATTGGAAGACTGCCCACTGGGCATTCCTGTACCTGTCTGAGGATACTAACCCCCCTGCCCTCCCTCCACCTGCTCTGCTCCGTGGCCTCCAGGTCTTTGGGGACCAGCCAGACTTCAGCAGAGACAACCCTTCCAACACAAGCCCCTAGACCTGTGCATACACACACACGCACGCACACACACTCCCGTGCATACACACCTTCTCTCCCTCTCTGTGTAACTGTCTTCCCCTCTTTTACTCGTGCTCTCCCACAATAGCCTATCCACCCGTCCCCAGGGAAACGCATGAATATGGAGGAGGCTGCCCAAGGAGCACATGACATACACACACACACACACACACACACACACACACACACACACACACACACACACACACACACACACACACACACACACACACACACACACTTACACTCTCTCCTTTCACTCATTTATTTATATATGGATACCTGGATTGGAAGCTGCAGGCACTCCCATCCTCCGCCCTAACACTCCTCTCCTCTGATGCTCTGGATGGCTGCTTGTGTAAATGTGGATACTGAATTACATAAAGCTGCTCTTTCTACACTCACTGTGCACACGTTTTCCAAAAAAAAAAAAAAAAAACGGGGAACAAAGCAACACAAAGGACAGATATGTTTCAAATAAGCTCTGCCAGCCTCTGTCGCATGTGTCGTGTCAACACAGAACGTACATTTCTCCTCTATGCGGCCAAAAGTCGGGGAGTAACTGACGAAGACTACAGACTGCTTTGTTTTTCACAGACAAACATGCAAGTGTGTGTTCCTGTTGACAATGGCTGACCTCCTTCTGGAACCAGCTGTTCTGTCCACTATGCAGAAACACGTGCGTGCATTCGGAGCAAACACACAAACAGACACACACAGGGGGATTAATAGTTACAGACGTGCACACACACACTTTTCACGCACACACATGAGCACAGTCCTCCACACAGCACAGTCTGCACTTTGCACACAGAGCAGTGAGTGTGTGGGCAGGCCCTGGCAGGGCATTGCTAAAGCCTGGCTGGTGATTTCTCTCTGTGGTGAAAGCTCGGGCAGTGAAAGGTTGGGTCCTGCCAACCTCTGTTCTCCTCTGACCACCCGGTGCCCACGTGTGGCACTCAGGGGCACGCCTGTCCCTTTCAATAACCTGCACGGAAACCTGAGTCCTCCAGTGAGCGTCTGTGCGCATGTGTGCGAGTGTGAGAGAGAAGAAGAGAGTGTGTCTTCCCTAGAACATAACAACCTCGACTTGTAGAGCAGAACAAGCTCTGCCAGAGAAATACTTTCTAGCTCAGTGTGTAGCAAACATCGACTGTAAAACTGAAGCAGCAGAACTCTGTGGACTGTTTATTGCAGCCTGGATTTCAGCAGTGTAGTGGTTGTTATCTTGAGTCTTTATCAGAGCAAAAGTCAATTCAGTCAATTTGGATCTTTGCTAATTTATACACTTTGTCTGATATGCATTAATTTACAGTCAAAGCCCTCAGTCTGTCCTCTGAATTCATTTTGTCTGTATTTCTAGAAAACATTTGGAGATGGACCAAATGTTGCAGTACCGCAAAAATCATGGGGGCAGTGTTGAGTCCCGTTAACTGAGAAAAAAATGACAGCAATTTCTGAGGAAAGACGTTCAAGTCAGTGTCAGTTTGGCGGCAGTGGCATAGTGGAGAAAGCTCCTGTGAGGAACTTTTGGTCAGAGTCTATTTTGCTGCCCCTCTGTGGATGAAGCAGGTTTTGCTTATCTTGTCCTCTTCATGTTTAAGTAATGTCCTCTGACTATCAAATTTAACATTTATGGTGACTAATGTTTAAAAAATTGCTGTTTCTTTAGCTGCTTTACTGATGCCTGCCACCCCACATTAACAAAAATGACAGTGTCGAATGTGCCAATTAATCAATTAATTAATCAATCGATCAATCAAATTTTATTTATATAGCACCAAATCACAGCAGTCTTTATCCCAAGATGCTTTTAAAAAAAAAAGAGGGGGTCTAGACCACGCACATTGCTAGATGAATTACCAAGACCCAACCTTAAGATAGGACAGATTTGACCCATCTCATCTAACATGAGTGACAGTGGCGAGGAAAAACTTCCTTTAAACAGGCAGAAACCCTGGAAAGGTCCAGACTCATGTTAGACAGCCACCTTGCTGCTGCAGAGTTGGGGAGCCAATCTTGTCGCTGATTGTCTTGTTTGCTCTTTTATATTCTAAAAAGGCATCAACATGAATTTCAGTCTTTCTCATAACTGTAAAAAATGTCCTCACAGGAGCTTTAATACCCATCCTGACCTAAAGTGCATGTTAGTTAAGATAGGGTTCTGGTTCTGGTTAAAAATGTGCATACCTTTTTCCTACCTAAAGGAAGTACACATACATACTTACAAGAATTTTATTGTTAAACTGAATCACAAAAAGTAAACTTTAAAATATTTCAGAAATCAGTGAGCTGTTTTGGAGGTTTTCCCAAAGGAAAAATCTCAAATATTTGCTCATACAAGTTCCATAAAAATGAGAAGTCACCACTGTTTTTGTCCGTTAACTACAGGTTGATTGGCACTCCTTCAGACCTTCACTGTGAAAGACTCAGGTCCAAGAGATATCCTCAATTTATAGTTAAAAGACAGCACAGTTGATCAATGTTGAATAAGTTAATAACCTGTTGGACCAACCCTTTTGGTTCTGGCTGGTATTGGCTTCACTTTTTCTATTCAGCTACTCAGTTCCTTAAACAATACAGCACCACGTTCAAACAATACATTATTTGTATTAAAAGTCAACCTTGAAGCCGAATCCGCATCAACAAAAAACAAGCGGTGAGTCTGAGCTACCATCAGCCTTGTTATTGCTGCTACATCATTAGCAGGATTTTAACAAAGTCCTGGAATACTTCCCTTACAGTGAGTCTAAATAAAAGTCCGCAGGGTATTAACTTGAGTCTGGCAGTGCTGCTGGTTCTGACTGTTCCGAGTTTATGAGTGGCGAGGGGAGAAGGGCAGGGCCGAGCCAAGTGTTTCACTGCGTCTGATTTCCTGTTTCTGATCAGGATGGTGTAAGCTGTCGTCTGCTGGAGAGGGAAGTCTTTTCATTCAACACAGATGGACTGGCACCACAGGAGTTGCGATGTATGTAGGCCGTAAGGGGCACAAAGTATGTCTGAGCCATATGCAGACGGGCATATAGATACACGCCCACACAGAGGCATCCAATATGGAGGAGCAGGCACAGAAGCACACAGAAATGCCCTTTTTGAGGTTCTGCACAGAGTTTTTATGTAAATAATGGTCCCATCCAGGGTGACTAACAATGAGCAAATGTCAGGGAAAACATAAGAAACCTCTGTGCTCATAGCTCTGTAATTTGAGAGCACTGACTTTTAACTTAATGTGAATTTATCTTTCCCTTATTTTTTACAGTTTACACAAACTTTCTAAAAATTTCATGTTGTTTGTTTTCATAATCCTTTAATCGCTGCTTGAATCCTTGAAATCCTTGTAATCTTACCCTATAAATTCGGAAATTCTCATTATATCGTATACCACAACCCTCCGCAGTTGATAAACAATGGGTGATGGCAAAAAAGGTGGAAAAAGTGACTTTTCCACCACGGCAGAGGACTGCAACTTCAAAATAAAAGCCCCTGCAAAAAGTCTGCACATATGCGTAATCTCAGATGTTATATCTATTCGAATATTTATTAACTTATTTAATGTATAGAGTGTAAATTTAATCATATAAAACTTTATTTTTTATACATGGTTAAAGATTATGTATCATTAACTCTTATCCAGCAACATCACATATTAACAATTAGCTTTTGTAGTCCTGCAAAAGGACAGATACTTTCAAATTACAGACCTTACAAAACAATGAAAGTCAAGTTATTAAAATGAAAGCAGCTGGGAGTATGTTGTGTATTTAGACTAAATCTCCTAAACATCCTCCTTTGACATAGCAGAGTGGAAATAAACGCTCTAGATAGGGGTACAGGACTTTTCTTTAAGAACTGTGAGGGCCCATAGAGGAGAAAAGTCACTCATGAGCATAGATCATAATACTCACTCTTGTACAGCGCGGGCTATAGACAGCGCAGTGGAGCCAGTCTCGTTAACACTGTCCAAGGTGACGTTTGGCAGGTCGTCATCGTCGCTGTCGCTCTTGATGTGCCGTGGCGACAGGCCGTTTGGGTCTAAATGTGCTGTGGGGAGAGGACACAAACATGGGGGTTAGGAGAAAAAAAAGGCCCGCAGTGTGTGCGAAATGAAACCGGTCGGCATCGCTGTCATGACATGAAGAGTGAAAAACGAATAAATGTTCAAGAATGCATTTTTCATGTTTTACACCAAACCTATCCAAGATACATCTAAAGAAATTGTTTCAGCTGGTATCAGTCAATGTTAGCATCGCTGATAGATAGCTTAGGCTTTATCTGGCAGCTTTAAAATCTTGTAAAGGCAAGACCTCTATCCAACAGGTATGATATGCACACCTTGAGACAGAAAGCCTTACTTTAAATATTCAAGTAATGAAAGTATCAAAATAGATAAAACATTTCTTTACTAATCTATTTGAATAAATGCAGGTTTTTGTGAAGTGCTTGTTACAAATGCTTACATAGAAATATCCACGAAATTCTGCAGCCCTTTAAGGAACACTGTGTATTAGCTTTCAATCGTGTGGATGCTAAGTACGTCTGAGAAAAGAATAGAAGAGCGTGCTCCCTGTTCCCCTACATGTGCAACTGACAGAGAGTCGTATTCACAATAATGACAAACTTCAACATAAAAGCCCAAAGACATCATGAGTCTAAATCCATCCACTCTCTGCTGGACCCTTTTCACAGAGCATCCTGATAATTAGCAAGCTAGCTTTGTCTCTCTCTTTGATTCTTCTCTTTTTGCACAGTAACCGAATAAAAAAAAAAGTCCATCATTTGACTGGCCAGCATGCTATCAACCTCCACCCTCTGAGCCAATGAGCGCAGGGTTTCTGTGTCTCTGGAGCTACATGACAGAGTTACATCTTTCCAGCAAGTTGTGACAACTTCTCCCCTGGACAACTCATTGGATATATTGCCAGAGCCTGCAGCCATTCTGTCATCTCTGTCTCCATGGACACAGGCTGCGTTCACCCTGGAGAACTCAAGAGATGGAGTTAAAAAAAAAAAAATTAGAGCCCATCGGAGTCTAGTTGTCAAAATAAAGTTGATAGAAATCCTCTGGGTTAAACACTGATTGACTTTTGTGGTATTTTAGAGGAAATGCTGGAGAAAATCCCTCCAAGAAGGTGTCAGGTAGGGAAACATAAATTATATGTATGTTGGGAGTGAGGGTTGAGTGTCAAACCTTTTATTTACTGGTGTTTTTTCATGCACTAAAATAAAAAAAACTGTTTCCTTTTTTGTAGAGCATGGGGGGGCCGCCATGAAGAATATTCCTCTTACAAGAATATATATGCACAGACTTCAGAAATACACCTCCAAGCTATTTATCGTTTTTCATCATTTAAGCTTTAATTTTGACACAGTTTAAACTACAAGCACACTCAAACAAGAACATTTGTAAGTTTCCTTTTGTAAATTTATGTGAATATTTATACAAAAGTATGTTTTCATGAATAAATTGTTTTTTAAATCAAGTTAGAAATAGCTGCAACTGCCTAAATGATCTCTGTTAGTGCAAACATGCAACAAATGTAGATATAAAGTAAACTACAAAATGCATGTGTGAGTGCAGAACAAATACAGACACAAAAGTGAGCTGCAAAAAGACAGAAGATCTGCATTTATAGCAAACCCGCTGCACATACACTGTCTATAAAAAGTCAAAGATACTGTACATGAAATCAGAAAAAAGGGCTGAAATCCAGACTTTATATCTAAGAAGTTCCAGGCTTTTAGGAGTGCAAAGTTTAATGCAGGAATAATGCAAATCCTAAATCCTGTCCGTAATGGTTCATAAACTCCAAACTATATTCTTTATTTCATTTATATCCCTAATCCCCTCCTTTACCTGCATGTATCCTTACTGTTCCTTTTATAATACCTGGCACTTAAAGCTTTTCAACCTCACATTAAACCAATTTTACACACACATGCACAAAGTATAGTATATTTACTTGATTTTTCAAACACATTATGCCAGAGAAAGAGAGAGACAGAGCTGAACGATACCTTGGCATATCTCTGTTCAATCTTATTTGTTTTTAGGAAAATGAAGGCTTAGGTTAGATTACATTAAACTTTACACTTACTTTATACATTTTTTTTATGTTTGTTTCTAAAGATGTAATCATCATAAAAACATTATTCGTGATATATTTTTCCTCTGAGTTCTCCGACATCCACAGTCACAGAACGCCTGCTGCTTTTATGAGCTATCAGGATTTCACCTCCTCTGCCCTCTCAGCCGAGACTGTGGCCATAATGGCCCATAATAAGGGTCTACAGTTAGGAGCAGACATGGTGTTATTACTGAGAGGGGGACATAGAAATGCTGGAACTCTGCGGGAGCTTTTGCTTTTAAGGGTTTCTAACTATTGTCATGGACTAAAGAAGAAGTGCGGAGTGGTCACCAGCCTGCCTCCCTCATGGAAAACCTGTAATTAGTTAGAAATGCTTCGTGTGTCGGGGAAGAGGAAGGGTATTTTGGAGCGAGGGGACACAAAGGAGGAGTGGTGGAGAGGTGGGCAGAGCACCGGATTTCTTTTCTTTCTCTCCTGTTGTTTCTAGTCAAGCCCTGTTTCCATGGCAACCTGCTGCCGGAGACAGGGAGACAGCAGTGGAAGGAGAGGGTACCCACCCGCTCTCAAAGAGGATGGCCAACCTGTGCGTGTGTTTGTAAGTGAGTGGAAGTGCACGTGTTGTACAGTTTTTCTTTTTTTTTTCCTTATCTATGTTGAAGGTTTTTGGTATGACTGAGAGTTTCATCATCAAATATGGTTGTTTGGTTTGGATCAAGCCAAACACGACAAATTACGGCTCTTGATCCCACAAATAAAGCTATTAGAGAAGGAATGGGCTCAAAGTCATAACTCCACCGGTTTTTAAAAACATGTTTTTCCTACTATTAACCAATCTGGGGACTCATTAGATGGGAGTGACAGTGAACTCTTTGGGTATTCCAGTGTAGCCAGGGGCTGGTTGACTTCCGGCAAAGACCTTTATTCATGCATTGGCTTGTTTACAGTCCAATCTAAGCAAACACATTCAGATCATTGACTGGATACTAAATGGTCAATGTGTCTCAATGCTCCTTTGAAATTGAATAACAAATTAAAAGTACCCAGTCTTGGATAAATGAATAACTGAACATCAATTAGCGTACGTGAATATCAATATCATGATGCATATTTAAATGTTATAGTTTGGCTGCAGTTCATCTGTTGTCAAGAAGAAGACAGGGTTACTGAAATATCCTGCAGCCAGTCAGTAGGGGGAGCTCTAAATGTGATGACTTCACAGTTTGCGAACTTTTACACTGTTCATTTTAATCTCATATTGTTTATTAAAATGAAAATGTAAGTGAAATACTTGCAAAATGTAAGTTTAACATGTGTTTTAGTTTCCAGATGACACATCTGTGACTCAACCAGTCAAGTTGCTTCTGTGGATGCCCTTGGTACATGAGTGCATTAAGTGAGCACCCATGGGGGTGGTCTTATGGCTTTAACGCTCACTGTGGATGGAAACAAAGTGACATTGTCCATACCAGTGTCAGTCAAATATTTTAAGATACAGTCTATAGTTGAGATCAAAAGTAAAAAGTCCAATCTTAGCAAGTGTTTTTCGTCAAAATGTCTTATTGGGCTTCATTTTAGCCAAATTTACCCAACAAGTATCCTCATTCTAGGATATGACATAGCAAAAGTAAGACTTGACGTGCTTATAGTTAGTGAAAAATCAGCCAATGGGATAAAAAATTACTTTTCTTTATATATATTTCTTTAATAGAAGAAATGAAATGTGTCACAGTCGGCTCTGTGACACAACATCAAGCAAATTTGTCCCCTTAGTTTAATTTTCATTTACTCAGATTAGATCATTGGCCACAATATCTGTTTATAGAGAATAGAGTGAAGTCAGATTACTGCCAGTGGGTATGACACAAACCTGAACACTTGATATTTACACACAGACTCAGTTTACATACTGTATATTAACTTTCAAAATATGAAGTGAAATGGACACAGAAAGACTAGGAAAATCTATTTATCTCCAATTAAAGATGTGATTTCTTGAAGTGCTTCATTATTTTTACATTGAGTGTAGGAATGTGTAATTAGATGTTCTCATTAAATCACATTAGGTGCAATAAACTTCTCAAAGTTCTGTCTGTCCTCTGGTCGCTATAGCTCATTAAAAGTGACTCTAGCCACCACACCCATCATCCAACACTCGTTCACCACACTTCCTTTGTGTTTGGTGCCTTCAGAGCTGGGCACAGACAGGATTGGACTGTGTGTGTATATATATATGTGTGTGTTCATGTGTTTGTATAAGTGCCACCCATCTTCAGTATCCATCCACACCCTCTTATGCAACTCTTGTTTTTCCTGTCCTTTCCTCTCGTCTCCTCAGCGCTTAAAACGCCCATCTCTAAGGAGACCACCCCACCCAGCTGGCTGAATGTCCATCTCCATGTTCTGATTACACATATCTGTTTGTTTGCTTGTACATAAAGAGCATGCAGAGATGTGGGCTGAATTTTTTCTGTCCGTCCTGCAGGGATTCACAAGCAGCAGCCTCTCTAAAAGCCAACAGCTGCCTTGTGTACGCCTCAGAGTTGGACAGAAACACCTTCTGTAGACCCACTCCCAGCGGCTGGCAGTAAAAACCACACCCAGAGAGAAAACCAATAACACAGAGTAAGCCAGGCCAGAGAGGTCTAATGCTCAAACTGCCTCACATGTTTGCTTCTCGTCAGCAAAGAAGAGGTAACGACTGGTGTGGCCCTGGTTACCCGCGCCAGAGGCTGTTTAAGACAGCCGAGTGAAATCTCTGTCAAGTTAAAGATGGGAGAGCCTTTCAACCTGTGAACCTCATCTTCACTCAGAGGAGGGAACATTACCGCCTGAGGGGCCGTCTCTAAAAACACACACACACATACACACACAGTCAGCTCTCACAGTTGTGTCTGCAAGTGCTTTGACTAAAGACAGTAGGGCACCTGTGCAGACAAATAAAGCATCATAAACAGCTTGTCATCAGGAGATCTCAGGCCACAGCACACAGATATTACAAGCATTTCTTTACAGGCTGATCCCACAATGGACTTTACTTTAAAAATGATTTTTAACAGAAACAGCCGACAAACAGATCTACCTTTTTATTCTACTCTAATAAATATCATTTTAGATGTCTTCACTTATTGCTTCATTACAATCCCTGAGAGTAGTGTCCAATAAACTGATTCAAGTAGGTCTCAGTTTCATTGTTACTATTACTGTCTGTGTTAAATAATTGTTTCTGATGGTCCAAACCCCTTGACTGCCCATTAACAATGCTTATTAACCTTGCATAACAAGAGCAATATCAGCGGTCACATCAAGCACATCACACTCATTGAATTAAATCAATCCCTGAAAAAAATGTTCCAGTATATTTTGTTTCTACTCATTGACAAAAATTAAAAAAAGATGACAGCCTCATCATAGAAATGCTAATTTCAACTGACTCAGGTGTTAATAAGTACTGACCTCCTGTGCAATTTTCCAGGTGAAAAAATGGGGGACAAAAAGCAAAATGACTATCAGTACCAGGCAGTAAGTATTTTTACTTCTACTGTGAAAGTGTATATTTAAAACGGGCTCTAATGGAGCTCTGCTGACTTTTGGAAACAGCCTCAAGTGGACACTCGAGGAACTGCACCTGCTTCATTTTCACCAGAGGCTGCTGCTTGCTAGAAACAAATCCCCTTTGTGTTGTTGAGTAAAACTGAGCACAGTATCATGATGCATCATCATTTCTTTTGCAGGTCAGTCAGCGGTCAATATTTAGGCAACCAAGACAGTCATTTTTGTCTGTTTTGAAAATGTATGGTGTATAACTTTGTTGAAATAAAACCCAAGTAAACATATCCTTATTTTACCTTTAATTAACAAATAGACAAGAGTATTGGATATTTCTACTCTAAATGGAGGTGATAATTATTTTGATTTTTTTTGCTTCTGTTTCAGTGTTCAACCCTCTTTCTCACTCTTAAAGATGCATGTCATTGTTCCCGAATGAAATGTGTGTGTATATTTTTTTATTACCTATCTTAAAATAATAAATTCAACTTTCTTCTTCAAGTCTTAGCAGTGAATGTGAAGTCTTTCTCAGGTCTAGTAGTTGGGTAAATTCTTAATAATTGTTAAAACACCTTCAACAACCATTCCTAACTCCAAATGATGAAATGCTTGAATAGAAATCCCACCAGAGCACGGTCAGCTGTATGAATATGGAGGAAACTCAGAGTGTGCCCTCACCTTTGCCCTGGCTTTTGGCCTCGTCCAGCAGAGGTAGCATGATGGCGTTGTTGAGGCTGGAGGGGGATCGAACGGCGGTGGTGTACATGAGCGGCAGTGACTGAACCACAACAGGGATGCGGTGAACATGGCTGGCCAGCTTCCCGGCTCCCTGCAGGCTCAGAGGGCTGGACGGAGGCGGCGGCACAGAGTGCAGGATGTGCAAATAGGGCTGACCTCTGACCCCGGATCCAGGGGCAACCAGAGGGCCCGGCGTAAGCACCGATGAGGCTGAGGTGATGACTGAGGGGGAAGAGGAAGAGGAAGATGACGACGATAATGAGGATGGGGAGAAGGCGGATCTCAGAGGGGAAGAGGATGAGGTGGTAGTGGGGGTGGTGGATAAAGAAGATAAAGGGCGGGGCTTGTTGATTGACAGATCGACAGGTTCAGTCTGTGTGTGGAAGTGTAGGTCGTGAGCTAGCAAGTCCTCTGGAGGTTCAGGCTTGACTCTGCTGAGGAAGAAGGGGACACCGTCCATCGCAGAGTAAGGACGCACTTTAGGCGACTGTGGAGAAGAAGAAGAAAAAAAAAAACTAGTTAGATTTAGATCCTCTTATCCTCCCACTCATCTTTATTGTTTTGTGTCTGTGATTCAAGTTAAAGCTCCCATGACACGTTTTTTGATGTTCATGAAATAGACTAAAATTCACACTGATGCATTTCATGACATCCAAAAGCAAACAAGACCATCTGGGACCAGATTTATCAGTTGTATCTCATCATTTTTAATGGCTAAAAGCGGTGCTAGAGGGGTAGGTGTCAGCCTAGCAAGTGTTTTTATAACTTCCACATAAAATAGTTTAATAAAATGTTTAAAAAAGGAACTAGAAAATCTGGAACAACAAAGAACGTAAAAATCATTTTTATTCTGCTTTTTTTTTTTTTTTTTTAAGAGACTAACCATCTGGTGATTTGAGCAGATCTCGTCTTTATCATGCTTAATTTGTGGTATAACTTTTAAAACAAGCTGATCAGAGCGGCCAGCAGTCCTGTCCTGTAGTTACTCCAACATGCACTTGCCTCACATTTTAAAATTTTCCATACGTTTAAAATGAAATACGAAAAATAAGAACATGAAAAAGAAGGAAAAATATCTGACACGCTATATGTTAAATGTCTAATGCTGCTTTGTACATGTTTAGTCAGTGTTTGATGTTTGTGTGTTGAGAGCGAAGTTAAAGGGATTCAAATGTGAGTACAGAAAAAAAGCAGACTCTGTTTCTGTTTTTTACTCTGAAGCACTTTGAGATTTGTTTGAAATGCAAAACGTTGAATAAAAGGTATTATTATAGTTGTTTGTAAAAAAAAAAAAAAAAAAAAGAACACAGGAGAAAATGTAGGAAGGGTTTAAATTTCAGGTGTTTCTCAGGACAGTGGGTCCTTAGCTGCAAACTGACAACTGTGAAATATAATGACTAATGTTTTTAGGAATTGGGATGTTCATTTGTCAAACTAAACTCAACTGGGTCCTCTTTTTTAAATGTATTGCACTTTTATTACTTTTCAAAATACATATTGTGAAGTTTCTCTTTAAAACAAAAGATGCATGCCATAATATCATCATGAAATTGCTAAAGTTAAAGCTTTGAAAAATAGGTTTTAAAAAATATATCAAAATTTAGATTGGGAAAATTAGAAAAAGCCTGTCTGATTTAAGTTTTTCATCAAAAGTTACTGCACCTCACAAATATGGTACAAAAAAAAACATAAAAAAACAACTGTACGCTGTCAATGTGCTTATGGCTGTACATGTTCCTGATTTCAGGTTATAAACGCTGAACTTTGTCCATCTGTTCATCTTCAGGAAGAGAAAGCAGCATGAAAGAAACATGTCAGCGAGGTAAAGAGAGAGAAAGCAGCCGTTCATTTCCTCGTGTTCATTCAAGCCTTCATCGTCCTGAGTGAGCATGATGTCACACGCTGATGAAGCGCAGGAGTAAAGATAGAGTCTCTCACAGCCGCCCTCTTTCACCGTATCCTTCCTCTCTTTCTTTGCTTTCTTGGCGTGGGCTGCTCTCTCTCTCTCTCTCTTTCGCTCTCTCTCTCTGTTTTCCTGCTGTTTTCCATCACTCCCACAGAAAACGTCGCTCTCTTGGCTCCCCTCGTATCTCTCCTAAATCTCCTTTGTGACGGTGGAAAAACATCATATGGGCTCAATTTCCTGACCGTCTCTCTCTTTCTCTTTCCCTCTGTCTCTAGGCGATGGGCCTCCTAAGGCCAACGCTGGTGGCTCAGTGTATCCCTCAACACATCTTTCACTTAACACCAAGCAGACTGTAACACAAGCGCTCCATCTGTCTGCATGAGTTTCAGGAACCTGTGTACTCAGAAAAAGATAATGAAGAACATACACAGTAGGAAAACGACTCTTGGGACCCTTTGGCTATTTTTCTGCACCTGAAACGTAAACTTTAAACCTTCCTATCGGTCCAAAATCTGGTTTTATAGGCTTTTGAGTGTGATGCAGCAGACTAAGACTGACTAGGCTGGGTGTAGGAGGGGTGCTGGAGTGTGTGGTGAGCAGTGTTGATCCTCACAGTGGAGCCTTTCAAAGGCTGAGTCACACTTAGGCCATCAGGGAATGGGCACATCCAGGATTTTTTACTAATCATGCAGGAAAAATTGTGAAAGTAAGGGGAAAAATTCAGACTCGCAGCTGCAGCAGATAAAAAAAGTGGGTTTTCTTCCTCTGGTTTGTTTTTAACGCTCACATATCTTTCCCCTTATGTAATGCTGGCTCACAGAGGATCTGCGGTGAGATTTTCGAACTGTTCTTTTACGTAGTAGCTCGTACTATTTTTACTCCAGACGTGTTCGCCGGACTACAGGAAATGTTACGACCCCGCATGAATCAAAGTGTGCTTCTCCCTGAGAGACTCCTCCTCAGCTGGAAAACAAACCTAACCCCATGAAATATGCCCTCGGATGATCTCTGGTGAACCTCTGTGGGGTTCAGATGGGGGCCGGTAGTGTCAGGTCAAAGTTCACTGCACGTTACGGTCTGAGTCATCCTGCGAACCACCCACCATGCATTTTTGAAGTGCTTTTACATTGGTTTATGTATGTAAACAGGCTGTTTTCATATCATGAGAATATAAACAGCCTTAGGTATCCCAAGTGAAAAAAAAGCTTTGTGAAAAACATCATGAGATGATTATTTCTGTTGTTTTACTGCTCCTCAGTCGGAGACTCTCCCCTAAAGGAATTGACCATTTTTAGTAAATAGTTTTAAGTTATATTTGGCGAAAAAAGAGGCTTTGAGGGAGCTCTCAAATAATCCAAATCGCAGTGAGGATTCTGCTGGGAGAACTAACTCCCCTCTTAATAAAGGAGCACATACATAAAGGCAAAGACAACAGTACCAAAAGCTTCAGAACAACAAGAGGAAGGAGGCCTGGGCGGAGGAAAGATCTGCTTTAGAAACCGTGTGGCATGAGAGTCTAGTGGGGAAATTAAAAAGACCGTACTGAACACTATAACTATATGATTAGATTTGAGCTGCTGGCCACAAAACTAATGAATGAATGAGTCACTGATAATAAAGAATGGATGAGGCAAGCTGAACTTTTTTATTGCTCTGATTAAATTAACTCAGTTCTGAGTTGTAACTGTTGGCTGTAATGTTGATTCGTCCACTCGTGGGGCTTAATACATCTCTGGGGAGTCGTTTTAAAACTTAGATGGGTGGAGTTCTTTAAAAACACAATCATATGACAGCAGTGACATGAGTTTTACTCCAGTTAACTTTGATGTCATAGTACTTTCATGGTGAAAAAAAATCAGCTTTGGCCTGAAGTGAAACCTTGTTAAAGCTGCTGTGGGTGACTTTTGGTTTGAGGCAGTTCTGGTGTCCATTTTTACATATAGTGAAACTTTTTATGTCTTGAAAGTAAATGTTTCAGACAAAAACCTCATCCAGTTGTCCTTTAACAGTAATATCTATCATCTACTTTAAGCAGTTGCCATGAAAAATATTAGAAATAATAATTTTGAATTTTTTTTTGCTAGATTGTCACCTGTTCTTTGCCATATAATATATTATGTGAAGATCAATTGTTTTTTATGATACCAATAGAATATATTTTCAATTTATTGTCATTTTTAAAGCTTCTATTAAGAGTTTCTGATAGACCATAAAACAGACTGGAATGAATGCATATGTGTCTCTATGATGTACAAAACACTACACTGTAAAACTTGACACCTGTTACTGCTATAAGAGGGTAGGTACACTGAAAAAACAGCAGCAGTTATGGTTTTACGTCAGCAAATATTCACAGTGGGTAACAAATTTCGTTGCAAAAAGACAACAGGAAGAGATTATTTGTCAATTACCCCCACATTTAAAAGGATGGGATGAGATCAGAAATGATACAAGGGATCCCAGTTTGTCCATAGGGGGCACCAAAGTCAACACAAACAGAGAGTCACCCACAGAAGCTTTAAAGAAGACAAAACCCTGGAGGAGTACAAGAGGACGACTCATGATGTTTAAGTACTCTCAGCATTTTTATGGACTTGAATTCCTGTTTTTCTTTTGGCACAAAGAACAAACTGATTCAAGCACATTTTAAATCAGTAATTACTTTTGGTCAAATCTATTATATGCTTGCAACCTCATCTTCTTAGAAAATAGAGTCAGTACATTGAGCTTACTTGTGATGTTTGTTCTTGTTCAAGTTTTACGCATCATGTTGTTTTCTTTTAACCACACTGCAGTGCTACAATGGTGCCTTTTTCTTCATGAGGCAACAAGCTGATCTCTAACCTCGTTTCCCAGTTTGCCCCTAAAACATTTTAGTGGCCCCTACCTTTTAAAGTTCAGTGTCCTTTTCTGTGTTTTATCCTTCAAATCTTCTTAATCTGTAGCAAAAGTCACAGAAAGTGTTTTCTCCCTCAAGTCTGAGAGCTGGAGTTCACTGATCTAGGGTATTTTGTTGATATACACTTTTGAATGTAAGATTGTGTAAAACATTTGTCTTCTCATGTGAAACTCTATTGTGATTCTGTCTTGGCCAAGTCTTGCTTCTAGAAAAAAAGATACTGTATCTAAATGAAAAGAAGTCGAGTTTTTACATCACTCTTTTACTATGTGCATGCATTAACCCTTGTGCCTGCAGAAAGTTTTAGCTATCAAAATAATTAAGAAACACTTATATCTGTTCGTTGTACATTATAGCATTTATGAATTGTTTACGTGCCTTTAAATGCAACTTTTGGTGACTTGTCGAAGACTCTATAGTGCAGTCTCTCTTCATGAAAAGATTCCTCCCCCAGGCTACCAAAGTTCTCATTTTATTTTCTCCCTGGCTGTATATCTGCTCTCTAACTACTATGTTTATCTGCAGTCTCTGCTCCACAACTCTACCTTGAGAAATATGTCAAAAGAAATGTCCACAAGTTGATAATATGTATGATTGTGATGTCAAATGTCCTCTGTGGCTCCCTTACATCAACTCCCGCATCAGCTCCCTGTCGCCTTTCTTGACAGACCCTCAGGCGATCATCCAGCTGCCTCTGCCTGCACTCGCTCTGTGTTTGCATGTTCAGTATAGGACGTGAGCGTCACAGACTGCCTCCAGCTATACTGCCTGCAGGCTTTGAAGTCATAAGACCCATTGAGACTGATCTCAGTGTTTGGAAATCTTGTTTTTCTCTCCAAGAGTGTGTTTCACTGGCAACTCAAGTTCTACTGAAATGCAAGATCTACCTACTGCTGAAATGAGAAAAATTACAGAAAAAAATCTATACACACGGCAAGTGTTGTTGAATGCTGGTCAGTATATTTAAATGATTGTCTAAGGATGGTAAATATGTGTGTAAAAAAACAGTTATGATAAAGTTTGATAAAATAATATCAAAACGTGAATTTCTCCGAAAACTATTTAGCTTTTAGACTTATAGGCTGCAGAAAAATACTCTCCTCATCCATATGAAAATGCTGTAGCCTAAGTGGATGGTCCTGAGCAAACCACTACTGCCATCCTTGTTGGCACTAAACTAATCTGCATCTGACCCCTTTCAATGGGATCAAGTGTAAAAACATGTACCTTGAACTCAATCAGTGCTTTATGAAAGCAGGCGTGAGAAAAATCAGATGAGTGCTGAATTTCTGAAACTAAGTCTGTGTTCGTTTTGCTGAACAGAGGGCTTCATGCCAACAAAATAAGACTAAACTGAATTCCCCTTGTTGTCCCTCGGTTTGTCTCAAAGACGTTATCCTTACATCACCTGTATAACTTAACTGTCTACGCTCAAGGCGACAAAAGTCTTGTTATCTGAGTATGTTTGGCAAACAGCTAGCATCAGAGCAGGTTAGCAAAGTTAGCAAACAAAGTAGCTAGCATGTAGTTGTTATTTTGATGACATTTAGCTAGCTTTGCTGAACTTTTAATAATCTGGTTCAGTCATTGTAATCTTTAAAAACAATTTGGATTTAGTGAAAGAAAGATACAGAAACAGTTAAGGTTGTGGCTTTTTGCTAGCATAAATTGTAACGCAAACTTTTGTGTTAAGCTGTTAGCTGTTTTTCTAGTCTTCTTATCTGAGTATGTTTGGCAAACAGCTAGCATCAGAGCAGGTTAGCAGAGTTAGTAAACAAAGTAGCTAGCATGTGGTTGTTATTTTGATGACATTTAGCTAGCTTTGCTGAACTATAATCTAGTTCACACATTTTAATCTTAAAAAACAATTTAGATTTAGTGAAAAAAGATACAGAAACAGTTAATATAGTTGTGGCTTTTTGCTAGGATAAATCACAAACTTTTGCGTTAGTTTGGAGGTTATGTGAGGCAGAGAAGGCTTTAAAATTCTCCAGAACAACTCAAGCCAAATACACTGTTTTGTAGTGAATTTCAATAAATCAGGTGTTATTTTGGTTCTGTTGGAACATTTTTTGAAGTGACAGCTAGTCAGGAATCTTGGAAATAGGAAATTGCTTTTGCTTTCAATCTCCACACGTCAATTGTTTTGTTTTTGCTTTACAGGTGCCATCTCTTTATTCAAAAGTGCTGTTTTTCTAACTGGTAAAATCGCCCAATCCTGTGAGGCAAACAAACCTAAGATTAAAGGTCAAACTGGCACAGTGTTTCAAGAAAAAAACTGATATTTGCATTTGAGGTTCTTAGTTACATCTGAACTGGAAACTTGAACCACCTCCACTCTCATTCTGACTGATAAAAACAAACATACGCAGGCTCTCAAACTTACACCTACTCACACAGGCTGACACACATACACAGATATCCTCGACCCGCCTGCATGCCTCTGTCCTCATGCCATTGTCTTTATTAGGGGATACTGGTTAGCAGGGCATATTTTCCAGCCCCTTGCAGGAGAATTGTCTAACAAGGCGGACCATTTCCAGCAAGCCCTTGGCCCCCCACCCCCCAAATGAAGACCACATTTCTGCAGCAGCCTAAACTGTCTGTCTGTCTGCTGCCTAAAGGGAAGCACACACTCTGTTATAGGGCAAGATTGGATCTCTGTGCTCTTCAAAGCCGTGTGGGCTGAAGCGCTCACATCCTGTCTGTGGCTGACATCACTGTAAGTATGGAGAATGACTTCAAACACCAGGTATTAGGTAGCACAGCTGAGAGCAGGACACCCAGAAAGAAACCACCTGCTGCCCCTCTGTCATGTCACAAGAGATGGATTCAATACCTATCAATACAGAGCACCAACACAGCTGAACAATTCAGGATAGGAGCTAACCTGATGGGTTATCAGCAGCTGCTATTTCTCTCATCCATCATGTGCTAATGCTCTCGGTTTCATCGCAACAGAAACTATTTTGCTCTTCTCCCCGTAACATATCAGGGGGCGCGTTATTATTGATATGTTATGAATGGAAATCAATAGTAACTGTGCTCTAATTCATCATGATAACAAATATTAAGTGGCCTGTGCCCACTGCACATACACACATACACACAGCTGTGGCAGCAACACAAAGCCCTTGTAACCTAGCAACAGCTTCTCCATAACAAGACCACTTTATTTCGAGGTATGTTGGACCGGAGAGCTCTGATGCTGCTCTGTATGTGGGCCATGAAAACCTGCATGAGGTAACCATGTTATTCCTAACCGCCTTATATACACCCTTTAATTGAACATTGTGCTCGAACATTTTCTCAGTTGCGCTGACTGGTCTTTTGAACATGGGAGTAGATGAAAAATGTTATTTTAGCATTTTATTTATATTATATTAAATAATAATAATAATCATTTACAGTACAAATAAACACCTATACCACCTCACAGAATTTTGTTACTTAACTCTTACAGATATTTAACTTGAAAACTGTATTTTTAGTATAAAGAAACATATTTTATTTTATTGATACATCAGATGGTGAATCTAACTCAAGACAATGTGCTTTGTTGTTGTTTTTTTAATGCAAATCCCTAGACTCTTGTTCTCAGGTTATTAAATACTGATAAATGGTTTCTACCCTTTAGTGTTTCAGACCTCATTCTGACATACTATGAGCACTGCTGCATTGCCACAGAGGAAATAATGTTTTATTTTATTTATGTATTTATTTTTTTGCATTGGATTTCTCCCACTAACAGAGAATCTTTAATGTTCATTTTTGTGCTCTTTATCTTAATTTTCAAGACAGGACAAATCCATGAATATCCGATAACTGTTTTCCTGTTCACATGGTTTGTGAACTGTATTGACGCTATTCTGAGGTATATGGTCCTGCATTATTTCCTTTATGTCAAACACATGGATAATCTCAGAACCAATCAGTAAAGGTCCTGAGGAGTGAATAGGCCTCTTGGTGCAATGGCTTACTTTTCAGGGTTGTCCTGACTTCTTACTAATCCTTTCTTGTGTGTTTCTATTGTTTTCAGACTGATTTGCAGCTAAAGAAGCAGGACACTTTTTGAGAAACAATGTTGAACAGAAGTTAATTTAGCATTTAAGATTGATACAGTTATATCTACTATGATCAATTTTAAACTAATTATGAAATAGGCTGAAATTTTCATGACCTGTATGAGCAAATAAGAGTACCAGTGACGAGACCATCTACACCTAAGTTGTACTTTTAGTGCCAAGTACCAATGTGAGGAGGAGGTCTTAAGCCAGATGACTGACAGGATGTTTAAAAGTCTGTTTTTACTTTTTCTACAGCAGTTTTCCAAAGTCTGTCTAACTCTTACTGTTAACAGACAATTGAAGGTGGTTTTTGCAAAAACATCACTACAGATAAGATCAGAAAAGAGAGAAAAAGGTGTCAAATTGACACAGGGAAAGTTCCTCACAGAAGCTTTAAGTAATGATATTATTTTAATGTTTATGTTTGGATAAACATCATAGACTCCTGTGTTCTTTCACCCATCTATTGCCCCAGATCAACAACCCAAGAGGACTTGGCCAGCCTTTCTACCATATAACAAGGTCCAGTTTCTCCAGGAATTAAATGATGGTGCAATGACATTATCGTCTATTACATTACATTTAGTGCACAGCCCAGTGTGTCCCCTATTGACCCTAAAAGATACCTTAGTCTGCATGAAATACAGAGGAAGTTAAAGACCTTCAGAATAATCTCATCAACTGATATCAAAGCACCTCTGCAGCCTTACTTTTGTTTACAACAAAAGATCACTGATCAGAGTTGAAAAGAGGTCACAAAACTTCAAGTGGCCTCCTCTCCTACTCCTCTGTGGTGGTTTCATTTTAAGTGGGGGAAACAAAACAGAGGTGACAGAGAGCACTGTGAGAGAGGACAGACATGCGTGAGAACAACAGGGGAAGAGATGGAGCTGTGATAGTGTCAGAAAAGAGAGTGAAGCCAAGTGTGTCTGTGTGCAAAAGAGAGACTATTCATTCATGTGTGTGAGTGAGAAGGGAGGGACTGGGAGGATGAAGGGAAACTGAGGGACGCACAGAGGCAGGAACAGACAGAAGACGATAAGATTTAAGAGTTTCCCATGTGACACTCCTCCTTCCCCCCCGGAGCAGTGACTACATCTGCACGATCACCCCCATCCAGCACGGACTCCCTGCCGGCCCCAGTCGCCTCCCCGAAACTCCCCAATGCATTCCTGCTCCAGCTGTGCCTCTCCTCCTCCTCCTCTTCCTCCTCCTCTTTTTTTTTAGCTGGGTTCTTCTCCTCTTCCTGCTTACTACCATGCTCTCCGACCACTCCTCTTAGCCCCCACACTCACTCTCTCCCTCTCTTGCTCACTTGCTCAGGCCTGGGAGTGATTATCGGCCCATTGCCGGGAGGAGGAAAGACGGAAAGGAAAAAAAATAGGGGAATTGTCTGGAAAACAACTGCTCTCTTACCCCTTGTTCCGATTCCAGGGGCTCGGCTTTGACTCGGACTGCAGGCATTCCGTCAAGCATTAACATCCTGTTTCTTCGGCTGCCTGCAAAGGGATACAGAGGAGGTGTAAGACGGGTGTTTTAGCATGACTAAGCAGGTCCCACACTCGCAGTTATTCACACATGAACATCAACAATGTTGTGCACCCACTGAGAGATAAACACATTTTAAATAGACACAAATTTTATGCTTCCAAACCATCAGAAGCAGACTGACAAAAAAGATGCACACAAACTGTGTAAACTCAGTCAGAGCACAGCATGACTCCCTCCTCTACATGTTTAAGGTTTTAAATTGCCTAGTGGGCTGCTGCAGGGCTAATAACACTTCATAACACCAAATAAAATCCTCTTAAGACTTCAATGGAATACAAATACTTGCTTTGATTTACGGTTACTTAACACCAGCAGCAAACCGTGGCAATGTTTTCTTTCTAAATGCTGCAATAATTGAAAATTGTCAGAGGAAAAGTGAAATGTCAACATATGTTACACTTCTGGAGATAATGTCAATTATGACACCACAAAAACATGCAAAGACACATGAACAAATCATCACCAGCTTCGAATCCCAACTAAATTATAATAGTATCATAAATACTTCATGCTTCTTGTTTTGAGACAAACAATGATTAATCCTACGGGGAAAGTGGCCGGGGTAACCTGATCACACACATCATATCAAATCAATCCATATCAAGAAGTCCAGAGCATTTCATCTCTGCCTGTTGACACTGTGGCAAAATTACAGGTATTATCAATCAATAAACACTGATGAAAAAAGAAGCTAGTATCTGCCTCAGGCTGGTCTTGAGATTTAGATAATGATGACAGTTCCCAGGGACAGGCGTAAAGCAGACTGAGGAGCTAACACACCCGAACAATCTGAAAAAGAAGAGTTGACTAAGATAAGGGCTGGTGAGTGCATCTTGATATTGTTGATGACTAAAGAAGAAAAAGAAGTAATGTTGGCTTTATTTATGTTAAAGGGTTTGTTAACTGTCATCTTTGAAGATGATAATATGTTGTATGGTGTTTAGTCAACAGGTGGTTTTACAAATCAGAATCCTCAGCTTTACAATACTTCACATTTTTCATCAGAAGGGTGAAACAGATTGATATTAAACACTAAGTGACCAAGGAGCACAAACTGGGCAACACTGCCAAGAAGGAGCTTTTTTTGAACGGCAGAAGCCTCAAACAGGACCAGACTTTGTGGTGAATGGTTGTTGGTCTAGACTGGCTAAGCAGACCAAGTGGGGTAATCCAAATCAATCTAAATGACTTCACTTGAAGAGAGTGTCTTCAGACTTCTGCGATGTGGAGAACATGGACAGATCAATTTAAGGATAAAATAAAATTGTGAATATTGCTGAATTTTACTGAACGGGTGTAATTTGATGATTACCAGCACTTTTAGAACCACCTGTTATCTGTGATTTGGATGATCTCCCGTAGCTCTCTGCCTTTTGCATCTGTTAAACTGCAGCACCTTAATGCTCCATGAGAAAGAGGTCCTTCAGTGTATTCCACCTGTTAATGCAGTGATTCAGTGGAAACACCTCACGCTATGAGCTCTTTAAAAATGCTTTTAAAAAAGTTATCTGCAGCTGGTTGCTGTTGATGCCATTTTTGCAGCAACTTCTGGATCAATGCAACAACAAGCCTAGTTTATCTGTGGATCACCTTTTATGATAACGGAAAACATTTAAAACATGAGATAAATATATTTTGGATGAGTTTGTAAAATGTAATGATAATAGTTATTTGTTAGCATCCCTGGGATGGATAACAAAGCATATTTACTCTAACAACTGACTTCTTAATATTTGATCAGTGATATAAGTGAGAAAAAAACATATAAAGAGTCATGTATTTAGTTCTTTTCTGCAAAACAACTGACACAACAACTTAATGGTTAGTGATTCAAATAGGACACAAGATATATCCTAATCTACACAATACATTTTGTTTATATTTTATCAATACTTTAATTAATACTCTGATGTTATGGTCACATTTTAAAACATGGAATTCAGGAAAAAAATTACAAGGAAAGAAACTAAAATTGTAGAAAAATGAAAACTGGAGAAAATTACAGCTGATTTCCTCAGACTCTACATTTAATTTATGTACCAGATTTAAGAAAAAGGTTAACTTTTTGCTGTGACATTGAAGAAAAAAATCTGTTAACTATGTTGCATATTATTTCTAGTCTCTATTCTGTTTCCTGAGCAGTCAGCTGTCCTGTCCTCTCAATAAAATGATAAAAGCCTTAAATAAAAATAAAAATTCTAAATAAAGGAGGAAAATATTACCAGATAATTTAAGATCAGGGTTGCACTGCCAACAATAACAGACATCAGACTTACACTGACAATGTAACAACTTTAATCCTTAAGGAATAATATCTCTTCTTCTCTTTGATCGCTGCATTTAAATAACTGGACACTGTCCTGCACTTCAGCTCTATGCTGCGGCTTTAAGAGAGATACTCAGATGGAGCCAATGACAACAATGCATGTTCCGTATCTCCTCAGCTGGGGCCGACCTGAGGTAACCCTCCCTCTTATTATTTTAGCAGCAGTACATGGAGGAATGCAAGCACGGCAAATAGACTCTAAACATCTCTATTACTCTCTGCTGCTGGCACCAGCAGCAGGATGTGTGGCCCAGATCCTCGCATTCAGCAGCCACCGCTGCAGCCACCATGACCACTGAAGACAAGCTGAGCCAATCAAGAATGACGTATAGCCTTTCTATGCAGCCCATATCCCGTGATCCTCTGACTCCTCAGACCTTGTCAGTTTGAAGAGAACATCCCTAAGGCCTCTCCAGAAATCACAATTTTTTTACTCACCAGAAAATCCACCCAAGATAGTTATCAAAATAAATGATTTTTACAGAATCCAATAAAACTGACAAAAACTCATTTATTGCTTCACAACCTCTAAGATTCTCCAGCAAAAAAGCCTGATCTTGACTGTGTTTGTGTGTGAGGAAGGTAGGGAGGGGAGGATTTACTTGCTCAATCTGCACCCCCCCACCCACCCACCGACCCACCCACCCGTTCACCACCCCCAGATCGTGCCTCTCAGGTCTAAGTCCCTCAGGTACCCTGGCTGTGCTTTGCTGCTATTGTATTGTTGTCCAGGATGTCCTTCGGCTTCAGGTCTTTGGTAGGCCCAGATAGCGTTGCCATAGTAACGGCTGTGCGGGTGGAGCTGCAGCCTCAGTCCAGCCTCAAGCCATGATGTGTTGAGGAGGAGAAAGAGAGGAGAGGGGCAGAAGAAGTGAGGGTTGCTTTTCTTAGGATGACCATTAGGTCTTTTTTTCATGACATTTTACTTTATCTAAATTCTCTTTATTGACCCTACAAGGTTAAAGCAAATTTAGATAGGCATGTATTTTGTGTTCACTTTCAAAGAAGACACCATTTAATTAAACTGTTATTTGTGATGCCTGTCAATTGCAGCAGTGATGCTGGTGAGTGATATCTGAGAGAAAAGGTCAAGAAGTAAAATATTTCAGAATCCTTCCAACATCAAAAGATTGTTTTCTGCTGGAAAATAATAACATGTACTATATAATCCCACAATCAACACACAATATACGCTTTCCAGTCAGGTGTTTATCTTCCAACTTGACCAGACACAGCTTAAAATCAGCCTCATACTACAAGCTGCCGTCTGTCATCTGTGCTTGTTTACATCCTGGTTGTTGAGCATTAGAGCTTAATGGCAGAAGGTTTTGACTGCCACAGCCCAGGCTAGAGATGGGTTGCTATGCTACAGCTTGGACACGATATTTAACTGGCCTGCATTAATAAAAAAAAAATGTAATAGTGCAACCTATAGATAATTCTTGTACTGACCAGCAAGGGTGAGGATGTTTAACTGTTTGGTCAACTCTACCCCCACATCCCATATTATGAGAATAAATCATGATTTCATAAGAAAAACATTGTGATACTTCTGCCTATTCTTCAGAGTACACAGATTCTTGTTCAGTCTTTTCAAACTCCTCAAACTTTGCCAGTGTGTGTTTTAAGCGCCAAAGGAAGAGATATTTTTATTGTCTGTGAAACCTACAGTAATGTATAACACAGGTTTCTGGCTGCTCTTCTGATATTCCCTTTTGAAAAATATGGGCCAACAACTGCACAGTGAAAAAATACCTTTGTCTGATCAAACGCCATCTTTAGTTTGTAGTATTGTTGGGATAGAATAACTGTGTATTTATCAGTGTTAACACAATAATTTTCTCAAAATCACTGATTTTTTCTTTCCCTAACACAGCCCTATTGCTGACTGTCGACTAAATTGTGCTATCTGGTATTTTATTTCCTTTTTTGTGTGTGTTTGTTTACCAGCTCTTACAGCGGTTTGGGGATTTTTCAATAAATTTTAAAATCATAAGTCACATCTTAAGTGACATCTGTTTATTGGACATTTCATGCTAATCAAATTTCTGATTCTACGCTCAAAGAAAATCTGTCTTGCACAAAACAACAACCTTTCCCAGTGTGCCTCCAGTCCAGTTAATCCACCAGTTTGTGATCACCTTCCTAATGAACTAGCCTGCAGCAGGCCGCCCATAGGAAATCAATAGCCAGTGCATACCTCTGCTTGTGACTGTAATGACCAAAGAGCTAACAGCAGAGAGATAAACCCGGGTAATGAGCTAACAGAGGTCACGTTGAAAAGCTTTGACACAAGTCGACTGTCACCTGCTCCAATAAAAGGACCACAACTGCCAGTTAGAGGTACAGGATCAAAAACTCAACAGATAACAAGGTGAACAAAGATTGATTTTGAAATGAGGAGAATAAACTGCTGTGGATCCAGATCCAGTGTCCTCTATCACTAAATTTGGTGTGCAGGCTCAGTGGTGTGATGTCCATCAGCGGTATGAGGCTCCGTGTGTGGGAGATGGGGGGGGCAGGGTAGATTAAGATCACCTTTCCATTTGCTGCACTCTGAAATGAAATGGCCATCCCAGGTGTGTGGGGGAGTTGGATGGAGAGAAGAGGGCAGTGAAGTGTTGAGGCATCTCATTTCTCCCTCACCACCCCTTCCTGCCTTACCCCACCCCTTTCACCCCTTTCCTTAATTCACCGGAAAAATAAAGGTAAAGAGAGCAGGTGAAGACTGAGGCCAGACATAGCAAAAAAAGAAAAATGCTGAAAATCTACATATTTCACTGTCTGCTGCTCTCATTTTTGTCTTTGTGCTTATTTGTGTGCCTCTGTTAATGCATTTTACAGTATGAACTCAAACTCCCACCACATAGCCACATGGGTGACCTCAGGTTCATTGTCTGCGTGCTGATGGAGGTGATAGCAAATAGCTGGAGAGGAAGGATAAAGCCCAGGAAAAACTACTGTGAATAAACTAGCTTGATTAATAAGAGGAAAATCTGACGCACTCTAACACAGACTACTGCCTGAGAATGAAGCAGCAGAGGCAAATTATCAGAGGGGGCAGTTATGCAGACTACCAATAATGGATTTACAGGGCTTAGGTGTAAATATTTACAGTTTGAGGGCTGGAGCACAAAGAATATGACTTAAAGTGGGTTGTCAGATGTGTGTATTAAGGCCTCGATGTCTATAAAGATTGATAAAAAGCTTTCTTGTCTTTGGCTGAGAAGCCGCAAAGATCTGAGATTCCATTAACTCTCGACAAGGACTGTTTTGTTATGATCAGTCATAACCCATAAAAACACAAGGTAATACATGGACACTAAAACACTACCATAAGGGCTGCAGGACGATGGTCAAAATGCTAATCAAGATTATTTTGATCAACATTGAGATTCTGATAACTAATCATAATTGATATGTCAAGCTACTTGCTTATTGACAGGGCTGGACTCAGACCAAGCTTACTCTGATACTCTAACTCCAAGCTCACTCTGTCCCTCTGCTTTACTAACACACATTACTTACCTAAGCTACTTGTTCTGGGCTGGCTTTGCTGCAGATGTTTCTTTATGAACTTTAAGTTTTGGAATCTCAGGACTTGCTCCATCATCAACAACAAGTCTCGACCATTTACAGTTTTATTATATGGGTGATTTCTCTAAAAAACAGCAAAATATTGTCAACAGAGCTAGTGCAAGTAAAGAAAAAAGGGTGACACATTTGAAATGCTACTTTGTTAATGACTACTTACCACTAAAGCTTTGCACAAGCATAGCCTGCAATAATATGTAAACAAATGCTGTCAATCATGTCTCTTTGATAGTCGAAAGGCCAAAACTGTGATTGAGATTAAAATTTAATTAACTGTCTCCCAATAACAAAAATGTTTTCCATGCGTTCACATTATTTATTCATACGCAGAATCTGATTGCATTGTTTTAATTAGCAAAGGCAGTATGATATGAGATGATTAACCAATATTGAGGAGTGGCTATAAGCTTTACAGTCTTTGTCTTTATGCTGTGACCTTATCTCACACAGCAGCTGTGTTTGAAATATCACTCCAGTCCATAGACTGCATAATAACACGGACCACACGAAAGTTTCTCCAGAGTGAAGCCAAAACTTTAAGAGCTACCCCTGGTGGCTAGCTGCAGAATAGGTTATTCAGCCCCCCCATTGTAACAGATGGAACATTAATCACACTAGAGATATTAAAATGCACTTTACTATTTGTCAGGCATGCATTCAGTTACAGCAGTCCGAGTCATGTTGATTTGAGTCCAAATGTTCACTTTTTGGTACAAGAAGACATGACGAACAGTAACACAAGAATTATTGAACTTTCTTTAACCGTGAGTATCTTTGTTGAATCAATGTAAGAGTCTGTTCTGCTGCAGACTCTACCAACTTGAGGGATCTTTGCTGTTTATTGGTTTAATGGTTTGGTCAGAAGAAGAAGTGTGACGTCAGTCCTGCGGCTCTACAAGCAGGATTGATTTTGTACAAGCCTTGGCACAAGAATATGTCACTAACATGACATGTGAGAATCTACCAAGGCAGTATTATTGGCTTATTTTCTTAATAATGGGAGGACATGGAGGCACTCTTTGGTCGTATTCAACTACAGGGTTTCAAAATGGCAGAAATGATTTTCTTTGTCAACACAAGGTCCCTTAAGCTCTCCTCTTGAAATATCATACAGAGATGAAACTAGGACTGGGCGATTTGGCAAAAAAAAAAAGTGATATATTTTGTCATGTCGTCCAAGCTCAATTATTATCACTATTTTTTTTTTTTTTTCATTTTTTTAAGCTGCCAGTTTTAAAGCATCTGTACTAAAAACTATGTGTTCAACATTTTATTAACATACATAATAAATAACAAAGCAAATTAAATAAGATAAACATAAACATAAATATCTAAAAAAAACATTTTTACTCAACAATACAACAAATGTAGATAAAAAATAAATAATACAGTGAACTACTTTACAGTGCTGAGTATTATTGCAGATATACAAGACCTATAATTGCCCCCTTGGGGATAATGAAGACGTCTTAAAATGTAAACATTAGATGATGTAAACGTAGATGATACGATTGATTGCTGCTTTGGTTTGGTGGCTGCACCATGAAAGTTGTGGCTAAACTGCTAATGCTACTAGTGCCATCAGCAGATTTGTTGTGTTGTTGGTTTTTGAGGGCACAGACCGCCAACATACCTTGCACATCGGCTTAATTGCTCGACGTCACTTTAGAGAAACCAGAACCACCGCCACACAACCAAGGTTATGGCATCTTCGGGGGATGACTCAAAGTCATGGTGGACATCTATTTTGCTGTCCTCAGCTCCGCGTTTAGCTCCACGTTCGGTCATTCTGTTTACTTTCCCTGTTTACTTCTCCGGCAGCTTACAGAAGTGAGCAGGAAAAGCTCGACTCTGATTGGCTGTTGTGAAGCACATTTCCGCCATGTTTGATCAAGTAAATATGCTAACAGCCGATCACTGTGATCAAACTAATATTTATCACGATCATTAATCACGATGATATAATCGCTCAGTCCCAGATGTAACCCTAAAAGCTGCTCACAGCTAGTTTTGAAAGCATGACCCATGCATTCATTGGTCATACATTATGTAAGCGTACCAAACTTCAATGCGTACAAATTTTTTTTTTTGCATGCATGCATGACTCAGTGCATAATTCTTTTTATGAAGTAACAGTGACAACACCTTTAATTTGGAGCCCTACAAAGATATCAAGAAACCACCTTCTGGGACCCAATTTTGACCCTGAGCGGTGGTGACATCATTCACACCTCTGTACGCACCATTTATGTCGTGCCACAGTGAAAGTTAAGCTAAAATAAACCAATAAAATCAGATACAGTATGTGTCTGTGAGTGCTCACACTTCTTTCTCCCGCTTTCTTTTTCTCTCCTCTGCACACAAACACCACACATCCTGAAACACACGGCAACAGACGGCCCCGCCAAGGCTTCGTTCCCATGTTGAGCGCCCAGAGCAACTGGGTGCATCTGTGACACAAAGGCTGGACCTGCTGCCACGGGCTGGGAGAGGGCGAGGGGGAAAGGAAGCGAAGGGAGGAGGAGGCAATGAAATATGGGAGATACATGAGGAGGTGTTAAGGGAAGGTGATAGCAAGAGAAGTGAGTTAGTGAAGGCGGGTGGAGCAGGTTTGTTGTAGAGCAGAGTTGCTGGCAGGAGCAGCAGTTGGGGAAGCAACCAAGGGGAGTTGAAGAGGTTGAGGTGGGGAAGAGGAGGGGGGGAAGGGGCGGGAGTCAGAGAAGCAAGAGAGAGGGTAGAGAGGGGATATGGAGCTGAGCCAAGGCCCGGTCGAGCGCAAAGCACACGGTGCAAGAATGCCAACAGACCCCCCCTCCTGCCCTCCCACCCAGTCCTCCACCAAAGAGAGGAAAGAAAGAAAGAGAAGACGTGAGAGCAAGAAAATCTGTTAAAAATGCTGCAAATCAGAAACAAAAGATTAACACAGAAAGCATGTAGGTACAAAAACGACACTGCTCTCAGTGACATGACACCAGCGTTTCCTGTGCCTGCCTTTACTTTGTGCTGCTGGCCTTTTAGCCTGAGACTCACTTCCCTTTTCTGTGCCCCTGGACACCCTGAAGTGACACATTGGCCTGATAACCAGCCTACAACTGCTCGCTCACCAACTCACTCCTCCGCTTCCTCTCTGTTCAGTCACGCAGAGCAGCAACTTGAAAAAAAAAAAGCTGACTGCTTTCACTGCAGACTCATCAGACAGGTAACAAAGAAAAGCCTCAGAAGAAAAAGTGACACTATGACTTCTTTAAACTGCAGGAAATGAAGGTGAAATATACAGTATAATGATGTTGTTTGCAAACAGTGCAGACACAATACAGCTGCAGCTGAATCACAGCTGATTTTCGATCTCGGTCTGCTTCGTGTTAAGCCGTCTGCTCATGACCTCATCTTCTTGGCTTCACATCTTGAGAGCCCATTCATTTAGTTTCCTGCACAGTTAGTACTTCAAGAGAAACAGCACTCGGGCAAATATCGGCACTCAGTGTGGTCAAAGGTCTAACAGACCTGAACCCTCAGCCCACAGAGGTCAGCGGTGCCTCATAAAGCCGGGACATATGAATACATATAAATTTGAAACTAAAAACTGACTGACATATGTTTGGCTGTGAATAAATGGAGATGTACCCTCCTGTGGAGTTTGGTTTTAGCTGGCTGTGATGTTAGCAAAGCAAAGAGCTAGGAAACACAAGACAGTATTGCTATGTTTGTTTTCAGGATTATTTGACTATCCCTTACATAAAATTGTGACCCCCATTTCAGTATATCACTGTTTGGCTGGTAGGCTGCCTTCTAAAGCTGTTATTAATATGAGAGAGCGAGAACAGCGGTGGCCAAGTTAAAAAAGAGAGAGCTACTCATTTAAAGCTCCACATCTTGATTTCTAAATGTTCGTAATTGATATAGAGTATTTGCAAGCCATCACGCAAATCAAAATGTGACCCATATGGTGTGATAAATATCGTATTGCTGAGGATGTGCAAAACAGAGCAACAGAAGTGTGTCTTTCTCTCTGGAAAAGAAGATCCTCTAAATATTTCCTTATAATTTCTTGATGTGAATTCCAGCAATTTAGGATTGCATCATGTTGAACATCTGAGAAGTGTCTGCATCTTTCAAATTATTTCCTCCAATTCGTAATCCTTCAAATGTGTCGCCAGCTTTTGATGAAATGATTGTTTGAACTGTCGTTCAGCCACCTGTGCGACTTTAAAGCACGTTCTCACAGGTTGAGTAGTGAACCTAGGATGAGTCACTTGACCTTTATGAATAAGAACAGTGGAATTCCCCTTTAGATAACCTTTCTGACCCAGAAAAAACAGGTAAACAATGCAGATGCTGCTTGTAATTTGTGGGGAAACATGCTCCCCCTCATACTTCACTACTGGATGTACCAAGATGGACATACTCTTTTTCAATCATTCCTGGCACTCTGTGAATGGTCTCAGAATTTCCATTTCATAAGCCGTGTTTTCTTTGGCGGGAGCAGTCAGTGAAGTCTTTCGGATGCTTCTGGGACATTTTTGAACGGGGCTCAAGAGAGCAAAAGTGCTGCTACAGACTTTCTAACCCCCGACAACACAATGGCATCAAACCACAGAATAAATTCCATCCCTTTGATAAAAAAAGGGAGAAAAAAAAAAGTTCCCTTAAGGGTTAAAACCCCTTAGAGATGCACTCAACTGATGCACTTTACCTCAAAACACCCTAGCCATTTCCACTGGGAATAAATCAGTTCCACAGAGAGAAAAACAGCTTTCTTCATGAACACGACTATTATTAGACAGAACACACTTCTTATGCGTTGGATGTTTTTCATCTCTGGGACGTACAGCTGAACACGGAGAGCTTATCAGGTCACATCAATTTAAACTGAATGTCATCCCCTATCTGTCTGTCTGTCTGATAGGATCCAGGCTTCAGTCACTCTTCACTCGGCGTGGCATTCATGAACGACCACCCTCACACATATAGCCAGCAATTCAAAAACCATCTAATGGCTCTGTTTCTTGACGTCACAAAGTTGGCGGCTCGATAAACACATAATAAAGTGTAATTTCACTTGAGGAGCCTGTCACCAGCAGCAAAATTCTCTGCGGTTCATCACTTCATTGAAATGCTTCTATAGCCGCTCTCGAAGCTGGCAGAAACGGCTGAGGGAGGATCTTATTGACAAAATGCTCAGTGAAAAATGCCACATATGGGGAAAAAATAAGCATTTATAAAAGCCAAACTGAAAGGGGAATTGTCCAAGAAAGCTCTAGGATGGACACCGGAGGGAGGCTGAATTGTGAAAGCAAGAGGTGAGTATTGATCTTTATGTCAGAATTGACTCAAGCTCAATGGTGGAGTAACCCTGATTCAGAAAACCTCAAAAAAAGGTTTGACCCAGTTTAGAAGTCTGACACGTTGTTGTTATCTTTCTCGATAGCAGACCTATTCTTATACAGTGTGAGTGCTCCAGCCCTTATAGCAAAATACAAGTTTTGAAATCATAAATAGAAAGTGGAAACAGACTTTGCTACAATGAAGAGCACATTTTTCCCCTGCACAGTGACCCCTTCCTGGTCAAGTTTCTGTGCAAATAACTGTTTCTTTTATTTACAGGAAATATGCAGTAAATTCACTCTACATCTAGACTTATCACTGAGGACTTTACTCTCCATTTAGAGGAAACAAGCTCTATTTATAGGAAGAAGACACCCTTGTCAATACTCACAACATACACGCTCACAAACAACAACACATTAGGACACCACAGCAAGGCCCACGGAAGTTCCCATATTCTGCTGGATTGCCCTTGGGTCTCTGCTATTTCTGCCAGGGGCAGGGGGATCCTGTGTCAGTAATCCTGTCGGGATGAGGGGGGATGAGGTCGCCGGATACAGCTCAAGTCCACTGCCTTCGCAAGCACACACACATAAATTATTACTCATATTATTAAGGAAACACTACTAATGTGAAAGTGCTGTTTTTGCTCATCTGTGTTTCTATTTTGTTTATTTTTGTTGAGTTTCTGTCTTCGTTTTCAGACTAGGAAAAGAATATTTGTTAATGGGGTGATGACAAATGGGTATCTTGATTTGATTCATACATATATTAAAGCTCCTGTGAGGGACTTTTGGTTTGTGTCAACTTTGGCGCCCCCTGTGGACAGAGCAGTCTTTCCTTTTCTTGTTCTTTACATGCTAAAGTAGTGTTATCTTGCAAAAAAAAAAAATCTAACCTCCTGATTTTTGATGGTAAAGTGTGTCATTATTGTGTGGAAAATATTAAATTAGGGCTGTTTCTTCAGCTGCTCGGCTGACACTTACCCCCTCGCACCAGTTTTAGGCATTAAAAATTACAAAATAAAAATCATCAGTCTTGTCAGTAATGTTCTTGTTTGTTTTTGTATACCATAAAAAAAGCATCATTATGATTTTCAAAATTAGGGAACTCCACTGCTGAATCAGTACTGAATGTTTGCACAGGCAAACAAATGCTATTTCTTCTAATAGACAGTGCTCAAAATGTAGACAGACATGTAGCAGCAAGACTGAAAATATAATTCGTATTTAATTAGAAATAGTTTGCCAAAAAAAAAACACAAATTCAACCCAGGATTTGTCACAAATCCGGGCACTTGTCGGCTAAATCTGTCTGTCATAAAACCATAACAACCAGATAACTTCCTGATGTTTCTCTAAATTCTCGCAAAGTTGGCATTAACTCTTAACATTTTGCACGATACTTCATATGCCAATGTGGAGTATCATATTCATTAAAAAAAAAAAGAAGAATGGAAATAGTATTTGTTCTTTAGGTGACTATTTTGTCTTTGCAAAAGCTCAAACAACACCAGCCTCTCTTCTCTTCTAGGGCAGGTCTTGTGAAACTGTGGGAAAAGAAGAAGCTACTTATTCTGAGAGGAAACACTCAAAACGAAAAAGAAGAGTCGGTGGCTGTCTGGTTTGCCTGCGTCTCAGTCTGTGTGTCAGACGCACTACTTATAAAAGCTGACTTCCTGAGCCCCTGCTGTGTTCTACAATCTGGCTACCACACACACAAACCTTGTGACCTCTGTCTGCACCCACAATGAACCATGTACGTCTATCTTAGATTAAAAAACACACACACACTCACACTCAACTCTGTGTCTGAATATTGCAGCTCTGCTCCATGAAAGAAGAATAAAGATGCCCATTCAACACTAACAACCACCCACACACACCTACAGTATGCACGCACACACTCGCCGAAAAACACACAAACACACATGCACACACTTCCACTGAGAGGTAAACAGAGGAGTCTGACATCCTCTTGCATCATGTGCCTCAAATGCAGCAGAGAAACAGCTAAACAAGCTGTGACCGTGACAGCGCTAAAGTGAGGTGGCATTACTCAAGTGAGCGTCGGCTTACAAGTCAAAGCAATTTGCGACACCGTTTGAGACAGTTTATGTCCAATTGAAGATCATTTTGATGTAATCGTGAGAAAGAATAAGTTAAATATTCAGTGCGAGGGCTGCGCTGAAGGAGCCACAAACAGACGCCTCAAAACAACGCCTGGAGCTCCAAACAGACTGTAAGGTTTTCTTGCTACAACATAATCATCTGACCTCTCAAGAACACCCTTCACGCACACACACACACACACACACACACCAGCACACACACTTCAGTAAATGCAGTAGGGTCAGTGGCTGTGAATCTAAAATAGCCCCTGACACAAAAACCTCACTTGTACCAAAGGAGGGGGAGGAGGTGAAGCAGAGCGAACCAGGATTTAAACGTGACAGTAGTGTAATTGGCTCAACCTTCACGGAACGTTTTTGCATGTTTATGGTTGGTCTGCATGGTATGGGAAAAATTCTGCAATATGCGATACCATTTGTTTGGTTTATTGTGATATATAATGTGTTAAATTAGCATATTTTAGCATGCAGCCATTGTTGCTGTCATGCTTCTGGCTGTTGATCAAATAGTCCTTTGAGGGGTAACAGAGTATTTTTTTGTCCTTCTGACCATTGGCTAAAGCTTTCAGATCAGTCATGTATTTTCACAGTCCCGCATAGGAGTTTAACAAAACATTTCAACAATAATATGATATGGTCTGCAATACAATACAATAATGCCAATGGTCCATTTGGAGCAAGACTATGCATTATGATTGTGAAATATACTGGAGCATGCACTTTGGGTTGAGGTTTTCAGCCCCGTCAATGTTGTATTGTGCATGTCACACAATTAAGTAGCTTTTTGACCAGTATTCACCAGTACCAGTAATGTTTTAACCAGTATTGACTTCATCGACAACTCTGGTTTGCAAAACAGGGCTTTTCTTATGCCATCCCTGATCAATGTGATAAGAGGTAATAGTCATGTACCCCTTTGTTTTCCCTTAATAGCCACTTTTTCAGCTTAGGAAAGTGACAGCACAGCTTTCTATCTACTGTATAATGCAGGTATGCATTCATTTTTTAAGAAGTGTGGGTGGCTTAGTTTGTTGTATTCTTGCTCTAAAGTTTGGATCATGTCATGGAAACCATTGTTTTCAACCACATTGTATGGCAACACATCTTTACAGCCAAATTTGGGGATGGATGCCATGATACTTGCAGCCCTTTGTGAGTCTGAGTTAAGACTTGAGTGATGCCTGAGACATTTCTGCCTCTGCTGTTACTGTGGGAACAGAGCTTGGTGTTTCATGCTAATGTCATGCTGTCTAAAAGGTAAGCACAAAGATTGGTGATTATGCCAGTTTATTCAACTTCACCTTTGCAAACTCTGAAATATTTACTGGCTTACCAAGGCTGGCTTCTGCATAAGGAAAGCCAAAATGCATTCACCCAAAGGTGCAAACTTCAGGTTTGAAAAATAAATCTGATGCAGCAGTAGTGTCAAAAACTGCAGTTCCTTGAGTGTCCACTTGAGGCTGGCCCCCAAAAAACAGAGAAGCCACATACACACCCATTCAAAACGCCCATCTTTAGAGCAAAAATACACACTTACAGCCAGGTTCAAAAGACAATCAGTCACAACAGCTCATTTCTCTATCACCACACACTGTAATCATTAGTTTTGGAGATTGTTGGTTTGCAAATTTTGCATAAGTAGAAGCACATCTGAATTGATTGGCAGGCGGACACACAGTGACTTTTAGCAAGGAGGCTATGGGTGATGTCACTGAGTTTATGTCCATGTTTTATACAGTCTATGGTCTGCACTAACACATACATCATCTACTGCATAATCCCTCATTTATCATTTATTAATCTGAGGGTCACTAATGGCTAGTAAGAGCCTAGATATCTCCCCATTTCTTCTGAAAATCAAAAATGGCTCTGAAAATCAGTTTTTATCATTAATTTTCAGGCAGTGTTTTTAATATTGTTTACTGCATACTGCATGTTGATATTGCAATACTATGAAGAGTGGTTAATTTAGCAGATTAAATGTTTGGTTTTCACGCATAGCTCTATAATTAAGTTTTCCTTTCCTGTCTTCATTTCATTGTAAAGCATTTAAACTACACCTCCGAATGAAAGATTCTGTGCTAATATTTCTTTGGTGTTGTGATCAAGGTCTTGTCTGTGTTGAGGTTTACACACTGTAGGGCTGTACTGTACTGTATGTGTGCCTTGGAGTGAGGGAGGGTGATAGAAAAAAGAGGTTAGCTCCAGTAAATCAATAAGAAATGCACTCAGTGACTCTTTTCTCCTCTCTTATTTACTCTGGGTGCACGGGTCCGAGGTTGAGGTGACCACACTGCTAAATAATCATCTCAAGCGGACATAGGTGGACGGTGAGCAAAGCATAAATAAAAAGACTCAAAAACCTGCAGTTTTTCTCTTATACATGCTTTGATTTCTGCAAAAGCAAATACTGTGGACAGTCCTGTTATATTACAAAAACTACATGGCAATATACCATGAGGGAATGAGCCATCATTTCGTGTAAAGGTTAAAGCTGTTTCCTGTGCTCTTCAGAAGAGGGTCGGAGTGAAACCCTGCTCTCATTTCTTGCCCTTACAGAGAGGTGGGATGCATTACATTAGCATCCTCACAATAACCTGCATCCTTCCTACCCACCACCACCATCACTACCACCCACACACTCTCTCTCCTTTCCTCCCCTCCCCAAGGGATGACAGAACACTCCTGCCCTAATGGGGGATTCTTTGCTACTGCCTCTTAGCCCCCTGGGCTCTTCTATGTGTGTGCTTGTGTTACAACATGTATGTCTGAATGTGTGTGTGAGTGATCCCCCTTCCCCCAACATATGCAGTGTGTACATACTACTCACAATAGCTTGTCTAACTGAATGCATCACAGCACACGTGCACTCAAATGCACTCTGAAAGATCGACCTAGATGTTTTACAATAACTGTACAATGCAAAAGGCACCGATACACTGACTCATACAGTATCTACTGTAAACAAGTCACACAGAAATAATAGCAGCCCAAACACTTTAACACACTTGTTTTTTATTCCCTCGTCTCTCGGTGCCCTTTTCCTCTCACTCTCTATCTTGTGGCACACACAGCTCTCTCTCTACACATACACACATATAGACATAAACACACACGCATTTCACTTAAGAGTCCTGCAGAGTCCTCTCAATGCAGCCTACCCTATCTAACCTCCCTTTCTGCTGACACAACCAAACCCACCTCAACTCTCCGCACACGGAAACAGACTATAACGGACCAAGCTAAACATTCCAACACACTGACACTTGTTACATCAAATGTGCGCTTGTGCGGTTATTTTCGCTCACGAGTTTTTCCCCTCAGTTTGACCCATTCCAGCTCTCCAACGCCACTCAATAAAAGCCAGCAGCTGTGTTTACCTCTATTACTCATCTACTCACGCCTTCACTTCGATTGTTTTTCCTCTCTTTTTCAACTCTTGCTGTCATGCCGTGCAGCGCTGATACCTGGTTGAAGCAGCTAATTGAGAGGAGTTATGGTCCATAGCATGAACCCACAATCGGTTTTGCTTGAGTCCAAAAAAGCCTGTGGAATGCCACAAGCACCCCAAATGGATTCCACATGTTGTTTGAATAATTTCCTCTCCTAATAGTTGACCTAAAGCACAACTGGAAATGAGGTTCACAGTAATCTGTGCAGCATCCTTACACAGGTCTGCTGGGACCATCTGCATATTCAAACATTTACAGCAGCTCAAATAAAGCTATAATGTTGTAGACCTACACTCCAGGTTAGCTGCCCTGACAAGTTTTACATTTATTTTTACAGACTTCTTTTCGGTATATCTACATCCAAATAGGTAAAGAATAGTTAGGCTGTGAGATTATGAAACACAGCTAAACAGTAATGTTAGCTAGGAAGTGGCGCAATGTTAGTTATTGCTAAGCACAAGCTACTAAGCTATCATATGTTGTTTTTGTAAAATCATTTACGTCTGAAATCCAGCGTCCATTAGGGAATGACGTTGGACCAAAGTTGAATTAACTCCTAAAATTATAAAGCAGTTGTTGTCAGCACTGTAAGCCGATACCAAGTAATACTAACACTTAATGTGGTGGTTTGCAGACGAGAGCAACATATCATGATAGAACGTGTACAATACTATTCATGTGATTGACTGATTTTGCTTGTAATGTATGGTGAAGCCATTCTGGATTGTGAGGATGAATTCCCTGAAATTGCTCCAAGTCTCCAAAAGGGAATTCTGCATCGTGCATCTGTCCAGCATCTTCAAACTTTCAGATGCCTTTCCTTCTGTAATAATAACAAATGTCAAGGTCAGTGAGGAAGTGATTGGAGGTGAATGTTAGCTGTCAACCAACATTTGCTATTTGGCAATCAAATATGTTGATTTTCTTCAAAATCAGGTTATTGGTCCACCATCAAACTATTTACGACAGCTAATGCCAGTTTCAACTGACTTCTATCCAACACCGTTTTCAGTGGTTAAGTTGGCAAAGAGTTCTTAAATACTGGAGATTTTATCTTTGGTTCAAATACTCAACAGCGGTCAATCTGACAAAAGTTAGACCACCTATGTTTGTACAATTTCCAAACCTAAGACTCAACAGTTTGTTATTAATAGAGCATTTTAGATTCCCACTCTGAGCAGGAAGTTAGAGGAAAATACTCTCTGTGTGAGTTAAGTGAATTGATGCTACAGATGCAGCTTCCCAAAGTTTCTATAAAGGGAAACTCTTTCTGTAGAACTGCCTCAAAAAGGGTCCAAAACCCTTAGAAAATGCTGACTTTGAACGCTCTTCCATGCTCTTTTTCTTGGCTTCCTTCCTTTTCTTCTTTTCTCCTGTTCAGTGACCATATTTGGCTAAAGTTAAATACACACTAGGTTGATAGGGGAAACATCACCACAGATAGACAGGCCCTTCCACCGACATACCTTTCCATCCTTGCCATGGAAACATGTCGAGCGACCTTAAATCAGAGTCTGGGGGCAAGCGCTGCTAAATGAGTCACTTCCAGTAAGTACTGAGTGTGCTGCTGTAAAGATGGTGTCATTATGAGAAAAGACCTGGATCAATGCTTTGGCCGGGGAACTAAAACTCTGCCTCCTCAAAGTCTGTGTTTTGTTTGAAGAAAGCTTTCTTTCTATCAGGAGTTACACTTGATTACAGAGGCTCCAACTATGTCCAACTGTTGCAAAAATTTCAGATATACAAATTGACGTTTTACAGCTCTGTAATCTCCCATGTTGCATTGTCATTCTTTTTGTTTGACTTCACTATTTAGACTATCAACCTCAGCGTCATTTGCTGTTGCACAATACTTTCCGTGCTCACTCTCCCCACCCTCTCTCTCTTTCTCTTTCTCTGTCAGTCGCTGAACACACTTGCTCTAGCACTCCATGTACACCCTTAACTCATTTTTTGGTAAACAAACGTGGGCTGGACATGGGGGTCAAAGGCTGAATCCACAAGAGAAATCGCAAAGGGAGAGAACATTTTGTCAACTTCTGACATGGTGAAATAACAGCACAGGGAGTTCAGCTTGCAGCCATCATCAACATACAACAGCCCTGTCTCACAAGAAATCAAGTTAGCATCACCTAATTAGCAACAGGATGTACGGATGTTTAACGATGTTTAACTTTAACTATAAATTTAACTTTCCTGACAAGTCTCAATTTATAGCTACAGACTTTATTATCAAGTAAACCATTGTGACCACAACATCAGATCCTCTATGAATGCGTTAAATAGAACAAATGTGCAGCGGCTTGAAGCAAAAAACTTATAGCACAAGAAAAACAAAAAAACAGTGTGAAATTAGTACTGATATCTCTATATGGCCTGTTCAGGCAGAGGACCATCGTACAGAGAATAGACCATTTCTATAACATTATATTCACTGTCTGTCAAAACAATGTACAGCCTGCTGCAGCGAGAGCCTTTGTTTACTGGGTAGATCCTGCACAGTTCTTCATTAAGTACGTTAGGTGTTTCAAAAGGGGGTGGGATGAGATTTTTCACCACGGATTATGAGCGACTCAGTTTGAGAAAACAAAGAGAAAGTTTCTCACAGTTGCTCAAACTGATGTCCTGATCAAGATTCATCCCTGACTGGAATTAAGGAGGCTTTAGTTGCCTTACTTTGACTGTTGTTTGACACTGATGCAGTAGTAATGAACGCAATGTGCCCCCCATTGCTCTCCTTGCACCTCCAGAGCTGTACATAACTCTAGTGCTTTATTTATTCTTAATAAGTTTTTTTGTGAATATGGTCCTGGCTACAAGTATTTGTTGCAATGACACCTTATCCAATACTTTCTAATAAAACTACGAGAAACCAAATATTTGTCCATGGATGCACTTTGTTTAAAGAGGCAGAAACCTCAAGCAGAACCAGACTCACTGATACTGCCATCTGCTTGGACAAGATAGTCCGATAAAGTGGAGTATATAGAAAGAGAAAAAATCTAATGTAGTTGGTTTCAAGGACACATAGATGCCAAAAATTAAAATGTAAAATTAATGTACCCCGAGTAGAAGACTTTAAATATATCGTAATGCAAAATTAAAGGTGGTGTACAGCTGGTGATTAAAGTATATCAGTGTAAAGATAGCGTAAATAAAGCAGCCAATGTGTGACCAGCTCCGCAAGTAAAATGACCTTTTATTCGCCATTGTGATCGCTTTATATTTCTCAGTGTTGGATTTCCTATTTAATGAGAGGAAAGTAGAAAATAAATGATAATTGACACAACCAAAATCTTATTTCACACTTGGGAAGTTCTGAACAACTGTCTGCATACGCGTATCTTTTTGTTCTGTACATCAATACATCAAGTCACCCATCTATTTGGGTGCAGTGGGACTGACATAATGCAGATGTGTGCCCTTGACGTACTACTTTAGTGTAAGTGCTTGTCAGTGAATATGTCATTGTAATTGTCTTTTAGGTTTTTTGTGTATTGGCAGTTTCTAGTGGCTGAAAATCTGTCTCTGCAACCCCTAAGTAGAGAGGCCACACAATATCCCACAATGCACCTTGAGCATACCAAACCTCTATAATCTGCTCTCTGGCCTTGGCTGACAGCTCAGGGACCCAAATGAATCCAACCTCACAGTGCACTGCAGTCTATCCGCAATCAATGACGATACACTCCATAACACCCACCTAGATCAATGGTACAGCAGTCTGTCAATATGGCAGCAGTTAACCCAGCTGATTAGGGGTAATACAGGGAATTTCACATCTCCTTGTATAAGACAGTGAGCGTTCATGTCGTCAGACCGCACAGCCACCTCTTCCTGAAAGATTCCATCTGTCAACACACGACCAATTTGTGTGTTGTGATCTGTGGCAGACAGATGATGCCTTTAGTGGGGAATCCTGCCATGCAATTAAATGCGCCGGGCAGAGTGCTGTTGATGGACAGATAGAGTCTATCGGTTGATGATTGGGTTTTTAATTGAGTCCCCCCACCTGCACTGATCTTTATCATAAGTCCCTGGACCGTGTCTGGGGTAGAGGTTTGTTGAGCCATCGAAGGAAGACAGTGACTATGGCAGCTTGAGGCATTTGTGGAGGAAAACAAACGCAGATGTACCACATCATATAACACTTGATTACGTTTTTGTCCTTTGGAGGAATATACGAGTTATTCTAACTTTTCCTGATTTATGCACATAGACAAAATATAGTCATTTATGGTAAAAGAAGAGGATTGAAAAAAAAAATGTAACAATTTTTAGCACCTGGTTGGTTGTGAGGAGAGACAGAAATTAATTGTCAAATCTGTGTTGCAAATGTTGTAGGAAGAAAGCAGCTGGAAAGAATTCAAAATTACAGATGTTTAGAAGTGGCTAATTTGTGATTTATTGTTTCTCTTTTTAATCTAGTGAACCAACAGCCATATAGAATAGAAAGCACTGGAAATTCAGTCAAATTTATTCACTAGAGCTAAACAAAAAGAGTCGGATTGGCTTGCAGAGTGTGCCTAACATTAGCAGAGCTAGCACCACCAGCCCTTAGTCCTCCTAGATACCACTTATATAAATCTAATTTCATTACCACCATGCAAGCTGTCATCTGTGCATGTTTACACCCAGGTAGTAGAGAATCATCGTATCACAGTGGTGACCATTTATACAGGCTACAGTCCTGATTGGTGGCAGGTGGCTGCACTACGGCCTAGACTCAACATTTGACCAGCACTTTACGCCTACAATAATAAAACTAGTAATGATTTGCTGAACTGAGAGGTAGTTCTGGTGTGTAGACTAATGGCGGGGATTACATTCAAAACATCTGCAAAAACTTTAACACTGTCTGTTGCATTCAATGATTTTTCTATTTTTTAGGATTTTTTCTAGCTGTATTTTCTCTGTGTATTTAATTTGAATTATACAAATGAAGTTGAATGCGCCATCACTCGACTTTAATTCTGGCTGTTTGTATAGTTCAGGTTATTAGGTTTTGGGTGCAAATGTAGCTCGTAACTATAAAAAGGTGAAATATAAGTTTCACAGCTTAGTCATAGTTGTCACATTAAGACTGTATTTTATGTCTGTAGAGTTCTTTTGACATGGTTTCAACGGAAAAGTTAACACTCATCAGTATGTTCCACTACTTTATAAAACATAAATGTAGTCTCAGTGGTGTCACCCATTACTTTTTCTTTGGAGCTGTCAAACAGTGGTTACCATACTGGAAATGCTGACCATGAGGCTAAGAGGCTGAGTTTAAGGTAGACCTGTAGTCCCCTGGCCAACAGCTAAAAGGTGCCAGCCTGTCAGTCAAATCAGCCAAGCCCCAAACTGAGCCCAACTGTGCAAAATTTGCAGCCTCAATATTTCAATTCTTTGAAATCAAATGATTGGTCCCCCCTCCGTCCCACTCCACTGAAAAATTCTTGTTTCTGCAGGATAATGGGAATGTCAATACAGCAGCAAATGGAGTTTCCTTGAAGCCAGGTGGTCACTCGAAGAACTGCAGTTTTAAGCACTTCTGTAAGGTTTTATTTCTAACACCAAAGACTGCTGTTAGATCATGGCTGAACTGAGAACTGTGTTTGGTCACCGGTAAGTTGAGCTTTGCAGCAAAATAACTATTTCATTGTTGCAAAAATACCCAAAAGGAAACAGATTATTTCACCCTCTGCAAATAAAACATTTCACCTATTTGGACAGCACACCAGCAGATATTTGCAAGGTGTAAATTTCAGAACTCTGACACAGTTCTTCTTTTCTGTTCATAAAAAGTGAAGCTGCAGAGTTCCGTCTCAATGTGAGGTAATATCAGCCGGCTAATTCATGCAGACGGCGCCTTTATAAATGGATTTAAGCGAGAGTTTAAACGGCCGCTAATCTTACCCGCTGAACATCCGAGAGCAGCAGGGGGTCTCCTCCTCACACATAGCCCAGCCCCTCCTTTCTACTTCTTTATGGTTACTCTTTTTTTTTTTTGAGATGAGACCCCCACTTAAAAACACACATACATAAACACACCCTACAGCCGCCACACATTTACAGGCAGGGCAGGGCCCCTCAACTACGCGGGGGTAAAGTCACAGAGGTCAGTGCTCAGTTTCCACATCAAACCCAGGAGCAGAGGCCAGAGTCTCATCTCCCCCCTCCCGTTCTCCACCCTCCTCCCTCTCCTCCTCCTCCTCCTCGCCAACACTCCCTCCTCCTCCTCCTCCTCCCCCTCTTTGCTGGATGTACAAATGCCTTTGCTGTCAGCTCTGCCCGGGTCCCCTGTAATTGAAAATAACAGCCAAGGGCCAGCCCCCGGCCACTCTCCCCAACCTGGTGGCTCTCTGCCTCTCTGACAGCCACCCATCAATACCAATGACTATTACCCTGCAAGTGAGAGCGCTGCCGATGACATCCAAGACACCACCCCTGCAACACTCCCACACACATACACACACACACACACACACACAAACACACACACACCTCCCCCCTAGTGTCCTTCCTCCGCTACCCGAGCCTCCTAATGTTTAACCCGTTGCTAACAGCCTCTCTGAGCTGCTACAGTAGGCAAACAAGCTCGTCTCTCACACACACACAATTCTTCACACAAATGCACACCCACACACACACACACTCAACTCTCTTAAGGCATGCACAAAACTCTGACAAGCTGCAAACTTTTTCCAGCAAGAGAGAGTTTGCAGCAGTCTCACTTCACACTCTTTTATCCCTCACAAACACAGACAAATTCTGAAAAAGTTACGGGTTTGGAAGTTTTCAAGTGACACATTAAAGATTTCAGAGTTGTAAAGTGAAGATGCTGCTGCTCATTCACTAGACAATCACTTTTTATGACAGCTTATGAATCTACACTAGGGGAAAAGGTGTCTTATGTCCAGCCAGCACCATGCAGGGTCTCTTGTTTCCCACTCACACACACAGTGACAAGACACCAAACACAATGCCATAGGTGATCAGAGCTGTCATCTGCCCTGACAGAGAAATGACAGCTGAACGAGACGCACTGAAAGCAAGCACAAAGCCCCAGCAACGTGACAAATGAAGCACACAGCGGCGAGCCAGCACAGGAACAGGACGGACACACACACACACACTCACTCACTCACTCACACTAACAAAAAATAAAAGCACAGACCTTGTCAGAAGCTGCAGAGCCGTGGAGACAAGGAGACTGTTTTCCTCTCTGTCTCCTCTCCTCCTCTCCCTCTCCTCTCACTCTGCCTGTATGTATGTGTGTGTGTGTTTGTGTATGTGTGTGTGAGTGTATGTGACTGCTCCCTCCCCTTCTGCCTCTCAGCTGCTCGGCTCAGGCAGTTCTCAGGAAATGAATGGGAGCGCACAGAGAACTGTTGTACTTGCAAATGACTTACCCCGAGTCACATGATCCGCTAAATGTAGGGTGGGCCGGTGGGTGGAGGCTTCATAAGCAAAAGGGAAGACAATATACTCTAAGCTTTAACAGCATGCATCGAATTACACGGGGCCCCTCCGGGGAGGTTTCCGACGCGTCCGCTCACAGTCAGCCCGCTCTCCCTCTCTCCCCCTCCCGCAGCGCAGCAAGGAGCCCCGGGCTGGGGGTGAGCACCGGAGCACCTCCCCGTTTAAAGGGGACGGAGAGGAAGGTGTGCATGAGGGAGCGGAAACACTCGATTATGTCAAAGTCTGTGAAAATGATCAACTTACTTGTTTGGACGCGTGAATTTCAAGTTTTTTTATTTATTTTATATTATTTTTTTATTTTTTGCAATGATTAAGCAAAATAGTGAAAATGTGTACCCTTACTCTAATTTTTAGCTCCTCTGAATTTCTTCTTCTGCTGTTGCTTCTCCATGTTTGCTTCGCCACCTTGGAAGAGGTGGATGTGTTTTAGTGTAAAATGTCTCTTTAGCACTTTTTAATCTCAGTATCCTTTAGTCCCATAGAGTTAGAAGTTTTGCCATCTGTTAGTACACTGATTTCATTTCAAAAGTGTTTTCAAAGTAAGCAAGCTCGTTAAACTCCACTAAAAGTCAGAAAATATTTATTGACCCCTCAGAGTGCTATACTTCTGTTTGCACATGCGTACAAGGATCTCGTTATCTGGAAATCAAGCATCTTTATCTTTATTGTGGTTTTCACAAGTTTTTAAGTGAAAACATAGAATTTAACTTTCTGACTTTGATATTTATCAATTTGGTTTTTGTAAAACAACAGTTTTGTGATAAGTAGGAGGTCTTGTTTTATTTTGTTTATTTGATTTTCTGTATAACAAAAAAAATAAAAGATTAGTGTTTACTTTCATATTTTCAGTTCAAAACAAAATATATAATAAAGATGGAAACGAAAACAAAATAATGAATGAAAGTGGTAGAGAAAGGCTAACCTGCTGTCATGGAGATGGATGCATCCTACCTATTATTCAGAGCCACCAGGAGGGTCACGCTGAAGGAGGAAGATATGACTGTAGAAAAAACTACAACCAGGGCTCTGTTACAACGCAAGATTTTGGTGCTCGAACCGCTCTGTCGAATCTTTCGCCATGGTAACTGTCGCTGAGGATCATGGGGAGGCCAATGTAGCCTCCAGGCACATATGCTCAGAACAGGCGCACTTAAAATCAACATTTGTAAATAAGATTTATTATTTAGTTTTCGTTTCCTTCTCTGTTATATACTCTGTTTTGAGCTGAAGATACGAAAACAAACACTATTTTTTTATTTTTTGGTTATACAGAAAAACAGATAAACAAAATATTGACTTGTTTTTTTTGGTTTTTCGTTTACTAGATTGAATGGAATAATTGAATGGACGGATAATACACGGACTGCACGTCTTAAGATGATTCAAGGTGGCTAATTTCCAGGTACTGTACCTATTGGAGTACGCCAATTTTTTTTTAATTTCGGTCTATTTTAGGTTATTATTGCACTGAACAACCATAAACAAGCAAAAGTAATACAAATCAGCAAAGTAAGATGACAATATAAATATAAAATTGGAGTTGTGGGTTATTTTTAGGGCTTTTTCTCTAATAAAGTTAAACTGGTTGATTGATTGGTCAACACATTGAATGAGTTCAACAAAAATGGTTTGTCCAACAAACTTATTAACACCAAGTCAGTTTACGTACAAAAATGAAAGGGTTCCTGCTCCTCAAAGTGTATAGTTTTGAATCTTTTTACTGGTTTCTTTTATCAACTGGACTAGCTTTATGAAATGACAAACTGGCCAACTAAAAGTTTTAATTTTTGATGTTACAACCATCCCTTAAAGATTCTGATTGGCTGCTATACAAATCAAACATTTATGGAGGTACTAAAATATTTAGTTTACCAACTTATAATATATGTACATTATTCAGTCCTTGGGTTCCTTATGTTCATAATGCAAGTATCAAGTCTAAACTGAAAGATTTATATTTAAGATTAAAAGATAAATAAATCAGTGTCAGATAAAAGAGTTTGTTCACATCATTGTTTACAAATGACAAAATCAACAGATATAGAAAAAAACAACATATATATTATGGAAATAACCCATTTGTCTTTTTTTGTTGTAACCAATAAAACACTTAGATTTTATCATTTTTTTTGAGAATGGTTAATAAACATTTGAAAGGTATCAGAAATTTGTAAAACTATTGTATAACTTGTTTAATTTTTTCAAAATTTTACATATTTATATAGGCTACAATAGTATAAAAATTGTAAATTGGTTGTATTTATAAAGAAATTATCTTCAGTGACTCATTAAAGGTTGCTAATCTTTCATGTTTTCACTCAAAAGATCAATCTTTACATGCAAACTGTCCAGAACTGTTAAAACCGCACCTGATATTTGTTTCTGTGAATCATACACCTTGTGTTTCTCTTCTCTCAGATGTATTTCAGTTTCTGTTCCTGCAGTAAAAAGCCTCTTTTCCACCTGCTGTTTAAGTGAGCAGCCTTGAATACCATGCTGAAACATTTTCCCATAATGACTGCTTTTAAAACCTCTTCTGTACAGAGCCTGAGCCGCTGCACCCATGTCAGTGCTCATGAAAAGGTATCTCTGTGGTATGATGGGGAGGCTGATGCTGATGCCGCTGAGTCCTCTGGGAGCTCTAATTAAGGTAAAGGAAGCAGGACTCATCTGCATGGCTGATGGAGCTCACAGCGCTCTTTATTATCATGGAACTGCATGGAGGGACATGATTGGGAGAGCCACTGATGAAAAAAAAAAGGAGTGGGGGGTATTTACAGATGTACAGTTAGCTTGGTCCAACTGTTACCCACTTAATATTCATTCTGTTTCACTTTAGATACTGTACGTTTTCTATTTGGGGTGAATGGAGGATGAGACGGTCGAGTGGAGACGAGGGGATGGGGCCAAAGGAGATTATTAAGGTTGGATTGGATAAAGGGATGGTCGGGTGAGTGTATGTGGGTGAATAAAGAAGCCTATTTCGTGGCTGCTTGAATGGGAAGTGCTCCACGTGTCCAATGAGAGGAGGGGTTAGGTAGATGAATACATGAATGGATGTATAAGGTTTGTATAGTCTAATGGGAAATGATGGCAGATGAACCTTAAAAGGAGGAGTAAAATTTTACTCAAAGTGTGATTTAACTGTCTTGTTAAAAATATCTTAAAGTTTTATAATGTGATTTTGCATTTAAAATGTAACAAAATCCATTTTGAAAACTGCATCATCCCTAATTCAAACGTTATTGAGAGTTTTACATCAGTGTCACCCCCTCCTCTGTTGAGTAGGGTAAAACAAGGCTGTGTTACTACCATCAGTGAACCTCCAAAATAAGCCTTTTTTGTGTGTGGTTTCCATGACACCTACTACAATACCCGTAAGCACAGCCACCTACCAACCAAACACAGCATAAGAACAGCTCTCAGGGTGAAAAAAGCAACAAACAGAAATGGGCTCGAACACAATTTAACTGCTGCTGAATATTCACACTGTAATGAATGAGCTGAAATACAGTGCTGTGGAGGGTGATGAGATGCAAACAATAGTTAAACGATGTCATGATAGATCTGTCAGGGATTTTATTTTGTGACATCCCTGCAGACAGACTATGTTGGATCCCTGAAAAACCTGACCTATGAGAAGTGCATCTTCAATACGCATCTGTGAAGATGATTCAGAGAGAGGTTTGCATATCCGTTCAATTTCACATTAATCTATATGCAACACTGTATGCATGTATTTGCAACTGAATAGACCTCTTTACAGCCTATGTCATCCAAATATGTGCACGCATGTTGGCAACAGAAGTGGTGTCTTGTTTCATTCATTCAGATGAGCTAAAAAGCTTTAAATACAAAAACTTAACCAGCATTTCAACCGGTCTAGTTTCTGCATGATTGGTTATCAGAATCAGTTTTACACCGTTGACTTGAACAGGATCATGACTGTCAGAGCAGCCGGTGTTTTGGTTGAAGGAGTGACCCTGCTAACTGGTGACCAAACTGCTGTACGCTTTCAACCTTATTGACTCTGTCTGACTTTAATTTCATCAGGTTTTGAATGCAAATACATAATTTTAATAGACAATTTACAATTAATTGACAAAATTCTGAACTTAGTTTTTTTACTATTTGTAGTTAATAAAAAAAAGTGAGTTAAGCTCTGTTTATGACTTCCTCACAGCAGTAAGATAATTAAAAGTTGAGCAATAGGTGGAATCACAGTTGACCAAAGCAAAATTTATGTTTACTTACAACTAGAGCTTATCATCAAATAATAACTATGCTAGCTAAGCAGCCAAAAATACAGTACTACTGTTTGACTTCAGACCATGACCCTTTATTACTTGTCTTCCTCAGCTCTCTGCTCCCCATGTCTCCTATCACTCTACAGCTGTCTTATCAATAAAGGCAAAAATACTAAAAATATAACAAGTAAAAAATAAAGATTTCATTCTTTTTGAATATCTGAATCATACCTAAGATTGTTAGACTAAACTTAGGGCCTGAAAATTAGTACTGCAGATCAGTGAAAATAATACATCAAACTTCTGGCAAACTTACACCATATGCTGGCAGTCTTTGATAGCAAACCTGGGATTTTTTTAATAATTAATCAGATACTCTAACATCTTTATCATATTCAAGTATGCGTGACAATATGCTGTCTACGTTCCAGGAAAAAGTTAAAGATATATGACAGGTCTTCAAACTTGTGTATATTGCAACACTCTGTTTTACTTGTGCAGTGAACTACTTGCCTTTTGGGAAAGGGTGGGTGGGTGTGTGGGTTAGGGCAGGTCAGAACATAAATCTTTTATTAAGACATTTTGCACAGAAAAGACCTGATATGAAAGGAACTTGTTTTGAACTCGCGATATTACCCACAAAGGTGTGAGGAAAAATAGGCTCACGTGGCAAAAAAAAAGTGATATTTTGCTGACTAAAAGAAAGTGATGCAACTGAAACTACACAAGAATGTAAATTCAGTGCACACTCTGGCCTCTGATGGTGATGCAATATGCTGTATTGGTTGCAGGACACTGTCAAACCCTGTTACTGTCAGTCCAATAGGAATACTGTACTCAGAGCTCCTTACTTGAGTGAAGTGTTCATGACACTGACAACATTTCATGTATGTGCCCCTCATTAAAACACAGATTACAAAACAGGCTCATAACGATTATTTTTACCGTAATGCCTTTGGGGGAAATTATTATCTAGTGTTATTTGCATCATTGTCTGCTACCTTTCCAGCTTCAATACTAATTTAAGCCTGAATGAATGGCCAATGTCACATCAGAGACAACCTGAAACCCATTAACAATCATCGTCTGTTATATAAAGAAGCTACAGGGTTTGCCA